GGCGAGTTCTTTTTCCAAAGTTCTAATCTTTTACAATATCTGCAGGCATTCAGAGATGAATAGGGAATTTTGGGGGATGATAATGATAGGTAGACTTGGATTGTTTCTAGAGCTGTGTTGCTGGTTTTGTAAAGATTTGTGAGATAAGGACAGTTGCTCTTAATTGCGCAAACAATTGGGATCTAGCCTTAAAGATATCAAGGGGCTGAACCTCCCATCTATATATATTATCTTCAGTTTGCTTCTTTGTATCAGGGTGAAGGTCTTCTACCAAGGTGAAAATCAAAAGGTTTTCGTGTTCTAGATTTGGAGCTGCAGTAAACCCTTCCAAGTCTTCCAAAAAGACTTCAGAATGTTTTTCTTTTCCTCTGGGTCCATAGTTTGATTGTAGCTTAGGTGAGAAATCCTAAAAACATATTGCTATCATCTCTGGATATCAGCTTCACTCAGCCAACTTCTGACCATAGAGCTACTTAAAAAAATCCCTTCCAGTATCTTATCAGGTTTCAGCCGGCAGAAACAATATTGCCGGCAGAACTGAACAACCCCTTGGATGCCAGAGGCGTCCCCCAAAGAGGATACAAAGAATACTGCCTCCCCAAGGTAACTCCCCTCGCCACTCCCAAAGATAACCAAAAGAAAGGAAGACTTAGACAATTCTCCCGAAGAGTTGGCAATAGTTGATAGGACCCTAGCCACAAATGGAGGGCAACACACATCTCTGTCTGGCTAGCTTTGGGGGGCCCCCCACCTGACACAAAACCAGATAAATAAGAAGGCAGTAGATATTCCTTAGAGAGACAAAGCATCAACAACCAATGGGTACCCAAAAGTAAATCTGCAAGTCACAATTCAAAGACCTAATTGTTACAAATGTTTTTGCCTGCCAATCTGAATCTGGAAAGGAAAGGAAAACATGAAATTTGACCTTCCTCTCTCAAGCAGGCTGTGCAGATAGAGATCTGGGAGAGCTGACTTTGGCAAGAATTCTCACCCTTTCCCGGCTTTTGCCAGTTTTCCCAGGATCCCATCTGCATGCTCTGGAGCGAGTGGGGTGTCCTGGCAGGTCACATCCCAGTCACCAGAGGTGGGAGGGCAGGAGAAATCATTTTCTCTCTACTTTTTATGTTGAGTCCTTGGCTGGGACCCCTTTTTCTCTAGGATACCTCATAAATGGCTAAGCTTATCTAGGTTAAAAGGTCTGCACTGTGGCCTTTATTTCAAGATTATCTTTGGTAGGGTTAACCTGTTTGTTCAGCCTTGAAACAAAATTTTATTCACTCAAAGCCTCCTACTGGACCCAGTCCAGCTTAAGTCAGATCCAGTCTGACCCTGGACCCAGATCTGGCATATAGTTTTCTTAGGACTTCTTAAATCTACCGGTCACCCTCACCACCTTTTTTTCTGGAAATCTTTTTATTGAAGAAACTAAGTATTTGTCCTTCACCGTGTTCCATGTTCTGGGTTTGGCTGGTCATGTCCCTATAGTATCACTGAACATGTCCTTCTGTCCCGTCTATTTCCTGTAAACTGGGAGTTAGATCTGGAGACTTGCTTGGATTTGAGTCATCGGGTCATTGTGCAGACTCTGTTTTAGTGGCCGGCGTGGGGCTCCATTGGGAAGGAGCCGTGATACATAATGTGGGATCTTTCATGGGCTCATGAATGGAACTCACACATTTTCAGGTGCTATTTCTCACACAGCCTTGGTATTTGGGCCTTATTCTGTCTGAACCTCCCCACCCCCAACTTCTGGAGGAGGTCGGGAAGGGAGAGGACTGACACACACCGGGTGGTGTAGAGGCTTTGCAGCTCCAGCAGTGACTAAGGTGGCCATGGTCCCAGCTTTTGAAGGGACATACCGCCTGGGGGGGCAAGTAGCGAGAGCCAGCAGACGAGTCAATAAGGTCATTACACTTGGTGGTCTGTGCCTAGAGGGAAACAAACAGGAAGTGGAGACAGAAATGGGGGCTCAAGGAGTGAGGGAAGGGAGGAGGGTTGAGCAGGCAGAGCCACACTGGGTAGACGAGAAGGCTCTCTTAGAGTCCGTACTTCACCGGGCTGGTCGAGTGAAAGTGTGAGGCCCTGGGGAGCAGGTGCCGCTGGCCGTGGGGATAGAGCAAGTGCCAGGTACCTCAGAGGTGGGACACACAGGACATGGGGGAGAAAGGGAGTCCGTCCTCCTGGCCTCCTAAGTATTTAATAGGCCCTTCCCTTTGTGCTCCCCGCGCTTCTGTCAATTTGCTCAACTTTGAGAAGATGGAGAAAAGGAACAAGACGACAGGAGCATCACATGCTCGACAGATGTGTGCGGTGGGATTGGCCCCCAAGTGTAAGAGTATTATTCAAGTCAGCCGGGCTTTGGTCGATCTCAAACAAACAAATGAACACTGACTGGGGAAAAGTTTAAAGCTCAGAGTCAAATGAACCTTCCGGGTGTTCTGTCTCTGACATCTTTCTCTGCCGTCGTCTTTCTTTATCACCAACAGCTGAGTTGCAAATGCCATAAAAAAAGGCTGAAAAATAATTTTCCAGCACTAATACTAATGAGAGTCATGTGGTCTGTGTCCAAAAGCATTTGCTTCTCGATACTTGTCTCAAAACTCGATTCCCAAAGCATTCCTTGTGAGAAGAGACACATCCTGTACCCAGATTCGAAATCGTAAAAGACACCTGTGTTTTCAGAACTGTTGAACTGATTTAAATCTCACTGGAAAACAGCTTTTTTAAAACCGAGTTTTCCATCTGTGGCCTCCGCGTGCTCGCTTCCCATCAGCGGCAGGACCGCCAGCTTCTGCCGGTTTGGGAAACGAGCTGTTTCCCACGCCCCCGCACGGCAGCCCCACTGGGATGTCCCCACATCAGGGAGAGGTGTGGATGGGCTGGTGGGACGGGGACCTGGGGTAGGATGGGGAAGAGCAGGCCGAGCTCCTTCCCTGACTCCAGAAAATCGCCAGCAGACAGGTGGAAAGGGAGCAGCAGGGCTTCTGCTAAGTCCCCACACCAACTCTGCAACCCCCCGGACTCTTGTTCCTTTCCCTTCCTTGGGCCCAGATCCACACCACCCCCTCGAACCTTGTCACCCAGTTCTTGGCCTGTTGCAGGGTTTGCTTTTAAGTTCCTCCTCTTTGTGTCCACCCCACCCCCTCCTCTAAGGATGAGGTCTGAAGGGAGGAGGGGAGAAGGCTGTGTGGGAGGAGCAGGGAGGGAAGTAAGTGACTTGGAAAACCCACAGGCCTTCCAACCAACCCCTGCACTGGAACGAGCCCCTTTTCTGCTTTCATTTTCTTCTGATCCCCCACCTCTTAAAAGTGCAGACCAGGGGCCATTTGCAAAGTCTCTCCCATTTGATTTGGGCTTTTTTTTTTTAAATTCACAGTTTCTCGAAGTAAAAGGGACACTGAAGTGGTGTTCTATGTCATCAGCGGGTTGTGCACTAAAAAGAAAGGGCGGGGGGCTCAAAGCCTCATTCTTAGCATGGCTTTGTAGGGAACCCAAGTACCCCCACCCCTGAGTACCCTCCAACAATCAAGGGGGTCTTTGTCCCCTTCCCTTTTTCCCAGCAGTGTGGGGGTTAGCTGGGTAAGAACACCAATCTCTTTTTTATAGGCAGTTAGAACTGATTTCGAGAAGGTTGTGTGTAGTGATTACGAGGCCAGCTTTGGAGTCCGGCTCCCTGGGTGTGAATCCCAGTGCCGACAGTTACTGGTAACTTTGGACAAATTTAACTTACTTAATTTTCTCCATCAGGAAAATGTGATAATAGTAGTTTCTAGTCTTATGGAGTTCTTCTGAAAATTAAATGCTAATAAGATGTCTGGAACATGGTAAACATTCAGTGTTAGCTCTTATTCTGACACATTAAACTATTCACAAAAAAATGATACCCTCAGGCCCCATTCAAATTTACTTCCTCCTTTTAACAGCTGCCCTTTCAATTTATTTACTTATTTATTGTTATTATTTTAAGTAAGATCGACACCAATAGTGGGGTTTGAATTCACGACTGTGAGATCAAGAGTCTCATGCTTTACCAACGGAGCCAGCCAGGTGCCCCCAAAGTGACTTCCTGACCCCATGACTCATTATATCATCATCTGTGTGTGTCAGTCCTTTCCCATATGCTTCTGGATTGTGGGTTCCTTGAAGTGAGAGACGTGTACTATCCATCGTGGGACCCACACCACTTAGCACAGCTCTGGTTTGTAATGGTTATCAGTTTGTCGTGTAAATTAGTGAACACTCTACTTTTTTAAAGATTTTATTTATTGGGGCACCTGGGTGGCTCAGTGGGTTAAAGCTCTCTGCCTTCGGCTCAGGTCATGATCCCAGTGTCCTGGGGTGGAGCCCCAAATCAGGCTCTCTGCTCTGCAGGGAGTCTGCTTCCACCTCTCTCTCTGTCTGCCTTTCTGCCTACTTGTGATCTCTGTCTGTCAAATAAATAAATAAAATCTTTAAAAATTTTTATTTATTTATTTATTTGACAGAGAGAGAGAGACAGTGAGAGGGGGAACACAAGCATAGGGAGTGGGAGAGGGAGGAAGCAGGCTTCCAGCTGAGCGGGGAACCCGACGCAGGGCTTGCTCCCAGGACCCTGGGATCATGATCGGAGCCGAAGGCAGAGGCTTAACAGCTAAGCCACTCAGGTGCTCCTAGTGAAGCCTTCAGTAATGGCTTAGGTTTGAGTGGTGCTTTGCATGTAAAGCAGGCACACATGGGAAACCCAAGACTCGAAGTTCAAGACACATATCCATGGTCCAGTGACGGCTATGTATGTGCCAGAGTCAGGTCCTGTGACTGTTGCCCCACGCCCCCTCCACCAGCCCATCCTGCGTAGGAGAGGAGCTGAATTTCATAATTCGGGATCATGTCCTTCTCCAGTTCTATTGTATCTGACATACTGGGGGTACCTGTGACAGCATTCTGTGCGTGGGAGCTCAGAGTCCCCAAGAAAGACGTTTTTTCTCACTCTCCTCTTAATTCTGCTTTGTTTTGTACAGGTCACCACAAATGGCATCATTGCCATGAGTGAACCCCCAGCCAAAGAGTCCTCTCTGGGCTTCTTCCCACCAACCTTCGGAGCGGTCGCACCTTTCCTGGCAGACTTGGACACGACAGATGGCCTCGGGAAGGTTTATTATCGGGAGGACTTATCCCCGTCCATCACTCAGCTGGCTGCAGAGTGTGTCCAGAGGGGGTTCCCAGAAGTCCCTTTCCAGTCCAGTAGCGCGGTGGTTGTCACTTGGGAATCTGTGGCTCCCTACCAGGGACCCAGCAAGGACCCCGACCAGGAAGGCAAGGTAAGGCTCTCCCAGGTACAAGGGCAAATAGTCAACAGGTTGGTTTTGCACACTTTGGTCTTCCTTGAAGGAAGGGAGACACTTGAGTAGGTCAAAAAGTCATCTCTAGGTCTAAGGTAACTTTCTGGGACATGCCTCTCTTTCTCCTTAGAAAAAACAATTTCACTCCACCATTATTTAATTTTTATAGTATTACAGAGTAGAGAGAAACTGGAAAGGGCCAAAAGCACTCCATTTAAACAGAGGATGTTCCAGGTTTGGGACAGGGGATGTCCCAAAGTGGGTACCACAGATCACCAGTCCTAAAAGATAGTCCTTGGCAAAAAGCCCTCCCATGCTCAGATAAGTTCGGGAAATGCAAAACTTGATCTCCCCCTTGATGACTCACTCTGAAAAGCCCTGCAATAAAGAAACCTGCTTAATTTTAAAGAAAAAAAAATTTAGCCATCCCCAAACCTTTTGGCCATACTCTTTTTTCCCTCCCAAATAAGATATATTACATCCCGCAGAACACTCTTTGGGAAAGCCTGTTATGGGCCTGCAGGACACACCTTGCTTTTTTATCTGTCTGATGCTCTATTTGAAAACTGCTTAAAAACTTCAGTTTCCCAACTGTGTGTCCCTTCTACTTGAGTAGTGAGGACCCAGCCCCGTGTACAGAGCACTTGCCCCCCTCTTGGGCCTCATCTCCCCTTACCCTTCCTTTTCTACACACCCTTTGCCATAGCTGTATCAAATTGTCTGCAGCTTTCTGATCAGGAATCCGGCCCCTCCCAGCCCCAGGAACTTGGATTTGCTGCCCTCTCTGCTTGTACGTCTCCTCCCTGACCCCCACTACTGGTGTCCAACCCATACTTGATCCTCTAGACTCGCACAACCTCCTCTGCTCCCATCCCCCAGCTTCGGGCACTTAACTGTATGTTGCTTGGGCTCAATAAATGTATGACGAATGGTGAGTGTGGTTAATATGTTTAATGGCCACGGAAACAAATTCTAAGGGTAAGAATTTGCTAAGTGGCATGAGATTTAGGCCACCGTCCAGAGGTACCATCTCTAGAATTTTTGGCTACCCTTCGTGCAGAAGGTGATTCATTAAATGACTGGAAAATTTCATGTTGACAAAGCCTTAGAGATATTTAAGTGGAGCCGTCCTGGAGTACCTGGTTCTTGCTACAGAAATACTTCTAGAATGAGGTGAGACCTCTGCCACCTCTGGGCTTTCTCTGTATAGTCTGGTGAATCGAACGATTTAAATGTATCGATATATTCCCGAGTAACTGAATCTCAACTCATCTTCACAGAGAAATACATTCCAGGCTGTTCTGGCCTCCTCTGACTCCAGCTCCTATGCCATTTTCCTCTATCCTGAAGACGGTCTGCAGTTCTATACAACATTCTCGAAGAAGGACGAGAGCCAAGTTCCCGCTGTGGTTGCATTCAGTCAAGGTGTACAGGGATTATTCTGGAAGAGCGAAGGAGCTTATAACATATTTGCTAATGACAGAGAATCAATTGGAAATTTGGCCAAGTATGCTTTCTTTGTTCTCCAGTAGATTCTCCCCTTAATGATCATTTTATTGTTAAGATGATCATTTTATTATTTTATTAAGGATGATATAATGGGCGCTAAAGAACATTACCTAAAAATGTTCCCAGAGATTTAAATGTTGTATATAGTTTTATATTATGTAGTGCTTTTTTCCTGATGAACTCAAAGTAATATACTCTCAGAATGAACAGACATCCCCTTTTTCAGATACCATGCCCATCTGGAAGTTTCTACCAGCTCCTCTGTGAGTCTACAATTAGAAATAAATGCTATTCAAACCCTGTCTCCTGCTGTGAACCCAGGCTGAGAAAAACCTTCTCCCCCCACATGGACTAGGGGAGAAATTCTTACAACAGAATTAGGGTTCTCGGGTCACCTGGGTGGCTCAGTGGGTTAAGCCTCTGCCTTTCTGCTCAGGTCATGATCCCAGGGTCCTGGGATCGAGCCCCAAATCGGGCTCTCTGCTCAGCGGGGAGCCTGCTTCCCCCACTCTCTCTCTCTGCCTGCCTCTCTGCCTACTTGTGATCTCTGTCTGTCAAACAAATAAATAAAATTAAAAAAAAAAAAAAAAGAATTAGGGTTCTCTTGGGCTATTTTGCAGAATCTGGGAAAAGTGGGGAAAGCTGGACTGCTTTCTTCTAAAACTAGAATCTTTCCCCTCCCATTGTGCCTTAAAAAGTGAAGAGAGAACAGCCTCCCTCCCAATTTCATATAGTCCAACTAAGTGTAAAACCTGTCTGCCCTTGGCTTAATGGTGTGCTTAGCAAGGGGCTCTGTGTGGTGGGGAGAGCCCTCGTCTCTGGTGCTTGCCTGTTTCACTGGTGTGATCACTCCTCGCCTGGCTGGGTGCCAGCTTCACATGTTGTCTTGCTCCACAGGAAGCTGAGAAGAGAACCGTTCTTCACACCACACAGATGCAGTAGACTTAACTAACTTCCAGAACACAGATAATAGTAAAATAATTCAATGTGATGAGTTTCAAGTGTTTATGGCCTTCGTTTTTGTAATCATTTATGGGATTGTAAGTTCCTGTGATTTTAATTTTTTGCCGTGGCTCTGTTTAGTAACTGGCTTGCAAAATTACTAAAATGTAGCCATTGGATCTCTTGAGCTGGCTGGCGGGTCCCCGCACACCACTGCCTTTCCCGGAGTCCTCGGACAGGCAGACTGAGCACACACCCCTCTCCTTCTGCAGGCTTTCTCGATTCCTCATCCCCTGTCCCACCCCCGATGTTTTGCTCAGGGTTCTCCACTGGGTAATGTCTGTCCCCTCTTTTCCCATGTAGAAGCTGGTCATTTTCCATAGTTTGCGGGAGGAGAGCTTCCAATCACAGACACAGACGCACAGTAAAAATGGTGGAGAAGGAAGGAGAGATTAGGGTCATTCTACTGTGGTTTTTAATTACACAAGGCCTTTCGGATCTGAATTTCCTTTGCACTTCACTATAGGGACAGGAAAAGGTAAACTGAGACTTGTCTGAGATTCCACAGCTGATAGAGCTGGCATTTCTGATAATCCAAGTCTGTACTATGTTCACTCACAACACTTCTGACACCACGTGGATGGGTTTTTTTTCCCAATACCTACCGATTCTCTCACTCTCCGGGCATCCCTTCGCTGTCCTAAAATTCAGCGGGGTTCTGATGCAGACAGCCCCGGCTGAGCACAGACCCCACGAGACTGCCCCCACTTCGGAAGCCAGCCCTTCCAGGTGCTGTATTTCGTGCACATCTGGTCTGCTAGCTGTAAGTCAGGGGTTTCTGGAACACCCACCACCCCAGGTTCCATAACTTTTCTGTGAGAACTCAGGAAAGCACTTTTCTTACTATCACCGGTTTATTTTAAAGGGTGCAACTCAGGAACAGGCAAATAGAAGGAATGCATATGACAAGGTATTGGAGGGAGAGGGAGCTTCAATCTTCCGTGCCGGCTCTGGGCAAACCATCCTCCTGTGCTCACCAATGCCGGAGCTCTCCCAACCTCATCGTTTAGGTGTTTTTATTACATAAACATGTTTGATGGACTCCTTGGCCATTGGCTGTTAACTCCGTCTCCAACCCCTCTCCCGTCTCTGGAAGTCAGGTCGTGGGGCTGAACGTTCCAACCCTCTCATCGTGCCCCACTGGATGGAAGTGTCCATCCTGAAGCTCCCTAGGGTCCCAGCCACCTGTCATCTCACGCGCATGCAAGAGACGGAGATTACGAGGATTTAGGAACTTATCTGCCAGAAGCAGAGACCAAGACAGAGTAGGCGGTGGGTTTCAGGTTGACACCCAGATCCCCGGGACTCCTCCTGCTTGCGTAGCGGGGGCGGTTTGTGGGTTTCTGGCCCGTTTCTAAGAAACCTGTCCTTCCTCCAGGAGCAGCAACTCGGGGCAGCAGGGTGTCTGGGTGTTTGAGATCGGGAGCCCCGCCACAGCCAGCGGCGTGGTGCCGTCTGATGTGGGCCTCGGACTGGACGACGGAGCGGAGTACGATGACGAGGACTACGAGCCGGTGACACAGCTGGACCTGGAGGACCCGAGCACGACACCTTTCCCCCACGAGGCCCGGGGGAGGGGAGACCCAGACACGCACAGTGCGCCCCGTGTCCTCGCCCCCCGCCGCCTGCCCACCGAGAGAGGCCCCAGGCCTCCCACGGAGAGGACCAGGTCGTTCCAGCCGCCCGCGGAGACATTTCCCCGGCAGCCCGTGCAGGTCATAGACGTGGATGAAGTCGAGGAGACGGGAGTGGGTGAGGCCATTTGCCACCCAGCGGGTCTGTCCAGGAGCAATTGGGTCTCCCAATGGGAGTTCTGCTGGAGGGTGTCTGTCGCCTTACGTGATGGTTTGGGAGGATGAGAGCTGGGGACAGAGGGGCGGCCCTTGCGGCTGTGGGGCTTAGCTGGATGGGCCTGATGGCTTCAAAGACTCCGAGGGATCTATGGGGATCAGGGCTTCGGCTACAAGGCTGCTGAGCCGGCGCTCTTTCAAGTGTCTCCTGACTCCCTTTTGGTCCTGTTTTAAAGAGAAAATTGCCTTGGAGTTATTTTGAAAGTCAGATTTTCTTGTTTGTGACTTCTGGGATCAGAAATAGATTCACCCACCTGAAAAAACAGTCTAGAAATTTCTTTGGCTATTTACCCTGTTTATCTTTGATATCTTTGTTTCCTCTTGGTTTTGGAATGAGGGTGGTTGATTATTTTTTCCTCCCAGGTCCTGTCAGCTTCAGAGTTGGTTTGTGAAGATGTAAAAATACAAAACCAATGGAGTCACCCTTTTAGAGATGCCTTTTTTTGAAAGATAGTTTTTAAAATACAATCTTTTCTTGTCAACCATATTCTGTCGGATTTTTGTTACATTTTTGATGGAAAAACCATTGGCGCACCAGCGTGCTTTGATTTGTCTTATAACAGATGTTCAAACTGAGCTGAAGGACTGATTCAGCTTCAGGCTGACCTGTAACCTCTAACATCCACGTACGTGAGATGGTCCAAGCGTCCACATAATGCTTTGATTCTAGTACGAGGTTATAAGGCCCCCAGAGAAATCAACTCCATCCACAAGATTCACTCAATTTTTATTTCTCTTTACTTCTTCTGATTTGCTTCACAGCAGTCATTCTAAATGTCTGTTCTTCTTTGAGTATACCAAAGCTCGGACAGGATCTGGTGGCCCCGTGAACTGTGCTTGCTCAACTTCCAAGGCACAGACATGGCGAGGTTACCCTTTATGGCATGAGGAGGACTTGGGTTCATGACTCAGAGCTCCCCTCCACATCCCGGATTTCCTGGGGCGACGCTAACAGCTCTCAGCGCACAGTTCTTTTCCCTTAAATAGCTGGTTCCGGACTAATCCCCCCCAGATATGGGGAGTATGTTGACTCGCCCATGTGGAGTCTGGAGTCTTATTCTGCTTTTCCCCTATCTAGGTGTCTGTGGGATTCTTATCTGTGAAGCCATCGCTTTGACATGAGATCAGAGCTAGCACTAACGACTTAGGGAGGTATATAGATAGTACTTGGTCCTGATCAAAGCCTAGATTTGAACCCCCAATGTGTCTAAAACAGATGTTTTTCTGTTCCTCTGTCCCATGGCTTTCTTTCACTGTATTTATGAGAAAGGTCAGTTTTCTGTAGGCAGCCGTACATTCCTGATGTTACTTGAAAAGTCGCCTGCAGATTCGCAGGCCGTCAGGGACCCACTGGGAGCTGGGCCACAGCTGGAGCCGAAGCCGTCAGTCACGTCGTGTGCTCAGCTTAGGGCCCAAGTGTTCCCAGCGCCAAACGCCTCCTTTATACGCACTGGAAATTCCCGCCTGTGTAGACGAATTCCCGCCTGTGTAGACGAATCCCATCTACCTAGGTTAAACTTTACTTTTTTCTTCCCTCATAACACTCAATTATAAATTGGATCATTATCCCCTCGAAAAGCCCATACCCCCTCCGGCTCTGTGAGCTTTTGAACTTCATTCTAAGTTAATTTGCTCTGGATTATAAAATTTAATGAGATGATTCATAATTCTCACAAAATGAAGCTGGGAGGTAGGAATTTGAAATAGAAATTCTTTTTTTTTCTTGGGTCAAAGAGCTTTAGACCAAGTGTGACCAGGGAATTATTTCTAATCAGCTTCTACGTGTAAGAGCTTCTGAATTTTCCCCTGGGGGAGAAAAAGGGGAAAGTTTTAAAATATTTTCAGGTCATCAAAATGACAAATTTTAAGATATATGTATATACATATATAATTATTTTAACCACAATTAAAAGTTAGTAAAAAAAAATTTTTTTTGAGTTCTGTCCCAAAATGTGAAGCTAATCTGACCCCATTACCCGGGTACCATATTAAGGTTGATATTGGGTGGCGGTGACCTAGTATTGATACGGTGATAATATGGATTCAATGATCCAACCCCTTGGATTATAACATTTTTAAATAACACCACTGTGACTTCTCAGACTCCTTCTAGATCCACTGGCCTTGGTGGTTGGACTGCAGGAGCCACTGCAGGACCTAGGTGGCTATCGGCGGTGAGCCTGGCCCAGAATGCCCCTCGCAGATGGGAATTCCCGCAAGGCTTGGGCACACACAGTACAGGGAAGCCTGGCCCCCCACTGTGCAAAGCGCTGACAGGGTGCTGTGTTTTCTCTGAACAGTGTTCAGCTACAACACGGACTCCCGCCAGACGTGCGCCAACAACAGACACCAGTGCTCTGTGCACGCCGAGTGCAGGGACTTCGCCACCGGCTTCTGCTGCAGCTGTGTGGCCGGCTACACCGGCAACGGCCGGCAGTGTGTTGCAGAAGGTAATTGGCTTTAGGGGTGCCTGGGGGGCTCAGTCCATTAACAGTCCCATTCCTGGTTTCGACTCAGGGTCATGATCTCAGGTTGTGAAATTGGGCCCAGTGTTGGGTTCCACACTGGGCGTGGAGCCTGCTTTGGATTCCCTCTCTCCTTCTCCGTCTGCGCGCGCCCTCTCTCTCTCTCTCTCTCTCTCAGGAAAGGAAAGAAGGCATTTGGCTTTTACGTGTTCCATTTGTGCAGGGAGAAGGAGGAAGTGGAGTTTTTGTTTTGAGGTTTGTTTTGAAATGTTGGCCTCTACCCAGCTCTCCGAAGGGGGAGTAGTGTTTTTTGTAGATACTAGATTTTAAGTGATATTTAATCTCTCATTACCATTCTTTCTCATCCTTCTCTAAAGCCCATTTCTCAGGGAATGCCCACTTTAGCACTATGGTGAGGTCTCTTCCTTTCCTGTGCTCTGTCCTTCACCGTCTTGGAAATGACTGCCTGTGGGAGCCCAGCTTCACAGCTGCCCCTCGTGTGGGATGAAGGCTGAAGTGTTGAAAGAACTCAGCCTGGACCAGGCATGGTTAATGCCTCTCGTTTTCCTCTGTTTCTTTCCAACCTCCTCCGTGGCGTTGTTCACAGACCCGAGAGCTTGTGAAACCCCAGCGGGGCTACAGTGGGCAGGTGTGGACCAAAGTTCATAGTGGGGAAAGTGTGTTCCAGCACCCTTCCCCTCAGGCTGTCCTCTCGTCATGCCCCTGAAGTCACAGCATGATGATGGCGGGACATGAGGGGTGCGCCACTTAATTCTGGAGCAACAGACCCATTGTGGGGCTGACGCCAAAACCCATTCGGCTGTAGGCCGGTGTCAGTCCGAGCTTTGCCCCCAAGAGGACCAGCCGGTGTTGATGCTCTCGGGTGAGCAGGAGAATCTGGGTGAAAGCCTAGAGGGTCAGGATAATGATACTCAGAGAGTGAGACCTCCGGGAGCCTGGGGCTATAAACTCAAATTAAAACAAGAGCAACAAAAACCCGACCCTACTGTACCTTTGTCCCCTCAGACACCAAGTCACCTCACTTGTCACTCACTGGTCATTTTCCTCGTGTTGAATGAGGAACCTCAACTGTTCTGCAAAATTTGACTAAATTAAACTCAGTCAGAGGAATGGTTTCTGTTTTTCACATCGCCAGCCATAGCTGTAGTTAAATCAGTTATTTCAATTTGCTAAAAAAAGTTTCCTTCTGGGTCACAGTGAGATAAAGTGAGTTTTGCTAAATACCATCTGAAGAAATGAAAGAAAATTATGTCTCCGTCTCATGTAAATTCGGGGGGATGTTCTGAACTTCTGTAAATATGTTCTGTTTTCTTTGAAATCCCACCACCCCAGGTATGACGTGCCTTTGCTTCTTTGTTTCAGGCTTGGCTTTTGTACTTCTCTCGGCCTGAGAGAAGCTTCCAGAATCTGCAAGGAGAGCTCATTCTCAAAGAGCAACCTCTTAGCTCTTCCCACGCCTGTATCAGAGCTGGAAATGCCGAGCAGTTTGTTTGGTGGCAAGCTCAGCTATAACAGACTGTCCAGCTGCATATTTTGACATTATATACACGCCCCATAATAGTTCTGTGGTTTAAATATTTGTTGGATTCTTGCTACTTTTAAAACTTTTTTCTGGCTCAAGGTTTGGTGGAAAAAATTTGTTTGGTTTCCTTCGCTTGGCTTTCCTGCTTGTTTCTGTAATTGTTTGGGGGATGCATTTTTTCGCTATTAGTCTTCCAACTGCATAGCACTCCCCGGTGTAATGACACAATCTGTGTGCAGAAGCACTGTGTGTATCAAGCATGCCTTGTCTGGTCAGTGACCCTGCATAATGGCTTGGGTGTCCTGAACACAGCAAAAGATCTGCACATGGGTGATGGTGCTCAAGGGTGAGCCTGTCTGTCCAGGGTTACTCAACAGACTTCACGGAGAACTTACTGCATTCCGAAAACTCTGCTGAGTCCCAAGGGAAGGAGCTGGGCATGAACATCCTGTCCCTGGTAATCTAGGAAGAGAACCAATGTATGTGCAATCGATAACTGATTGAATTTAATTCTGCATCAAACCTGAACAGCCCAAGGTGATCTGTTGACCTCTTCCTTCAGTTTTTTTTTTTTTATTACCTTTTTTTTAAACTAACATATAATGTGTTATTAGCCCCAGGGGTACAGGTCTGTGAATCATCGGGCTTACACACTTCCCAGCACTCACCATAGCACATGCCCTCCCCAATGTCCATAACCTCCCCCCTCCCTCCGCCCCACAACCCTCAGTTTGTTTTGTGAGATTAAGAGTCTCTTATGGTTTGTCTCCCTCCCGATCCCATCTTGTTTCATTTTTTCTCTTCCCTACCCTCTAAACCCCCCACTTTGCTTCTCAAATTCCTCATATCAGAGAGATCATATGATCATTCTCTTTCTCCGATTGACTTATTTCACTCAGCATAATACCCTCTAGTTCCATCCATGTCATTGCAAATGGCAAGATTTCATTTCTTTTGATGGCTGCATAGTATTCCATTGTGTATATGAACCACATCTTCTTTATCCATTCATCTGTTCTAGGTTCTTTCCATAGTTTGGCTATTGTGGACATCACAAAAACAGACATATAGATCAATGGAACGGAATAGAGAGCCCAGAAATAGATGCTCAACTCTCTGGTCCTTCAGTTTTCTTAAAGATATAATTAACACCCTTGTTTAAAGCATAGAGTTCGGTGGGTTTCCGGCTCTTCACTCATTTGGGCAACTATCACCTCTGTTTGGTTGTAGAACACTTTTATCAGTCCAGAAAGAAACGCTGTATCCACTAGCCGTCTTTCCCACTTCCCCCGGGTCCCCCGCCCCTGTCCGCAACTGATCCATGCCCTCTCCTGATGGGTTGTGTTCTTCGGAATCCTTTCCATTTCATTCCACGGAATCATACAATATGTAACCTTCCAAGTCTGACTTCTTTCACTTAGCAGGTGTTTCTAGGGTCCGTCTGTGTTTTGGCATCCGTCAGTATTTGGTTCCTTTCTTCTAGCTATGTGTTCTGTTGCGCTGTTATACCAATGATGGGCGTTCTGGCCGTGATGAACAAGGCTACTAACAACATTTGCGTACAAGTTTTTGTGTGGACCTAGCTTTCCTGTTCTTTGGGGAATATATCCAGGAGTTGGAATTTCTGGGTCATATGGTAACCTTCAGTTTTCTTATTTTTTAAAAATTTTTTGGAAGATTTTATTTATTTATTTGACACAGACAGAGATCACAAGTAGGCAGAAAGCAGGCAGAGAGAGAGGAGGAAGCAGGCTCCCTGCTGAGCAGAGAGCCCAATGCGGGGCTCGATCCCAGGACCCTGAGATTATGACCTGAGCTGAAGGCAGAGGCTTAACCCACTGAGCCCCCAGGCGCCCCAAGTTTTCTTATTTGAATGCAAGAACAACTTCATTTCTTTAGATCTGACATTTTCCTGATTAAACAGGAACATATGCACCTCCTAGATCTTCATGAAACATAGAGGCATATGTTATAGCAAAGGAAACTTTACTGTATTGCCCTGAGTTAATCCCTCCTGGCAATTTTGTGTATATCTCTTCTGGTATTTTCCCCCAGGTATATGCTGACAATTATTATTAACGTGTTTTTTAAAACAAAAATGTTATTCTTTATATATTATTAGGTAATTAATGGCAAAAGCTTTTAAATTTCCATAGTAGGTTGCATATCTTTCCCAGTTGTCTGAATGGAACAGTCAGCCATGAACACGCCCCAGCCTACAAGCTGGTCGGAGCCATTGGCCACATTTGTGTGGTGCATGACATCTGCGGTGCCTATGGCTGTTGGCTCTTGGGCCGATGGACAGTCCTCACGCTCGGCGAGAAGACCGTAATTGAGCCCAAGCTGTGTGTTAAGATGTGTGATAGATCAGGCCGCCAAATGTCCCAGATCCCCAGGACCATCCGTTCTGGGCCTCTGTCCCACCCAAATTGCTCATTCCGTCCCTTAGACACTCAAAAGTGATCAGTGATGGGATCACCTAGTTCTGCATCACCCGTGACACTGTTCTTATCCTAAGATTATTTCATTTGTCCCCGAAGTTCCTCCATCATACGTGGCTCCCGTCGGAGCTCCTTCCGTGCTGTTATCCATCAGCATGGGAGAGAGGCAGGGTACTGGAATTTCTAAGGCTCACAGACGGTTGTATGTACTGTCCTCTTGGGGACAACTACTTTGAGTTAACCCAAAGCCCTTTACCCCAATGCTGTTCTGTCTCTTTGCTTTATAGGTACAGGTCCAGGATGCCTGGGTGGCTCAGTCAGCTAAGCATCTGCCTTCAGCTCAGGTCATGATCCCAGGGTCCTGGGATTGACTCCGCATCGGGCTCCTTGCTCAGTGGGGAGCCTGCTGCTTCTTCCTCCTCTGCCTGCCACTCTGCCTGCTCTCTTTCTCTCACTCTCTCTCTGTGACAGATAAATAAATAAAATCTTTTTTAGAAATTAATAAATAAAATCTTTAAAAAACTTTTTTTTTAAATACAGGTATAGGTCCTACCAGGCACGTTCTTCTTTTTGAAAAGGCTGGCTTCTTTGTTTCCTGCTCAGGCTCCCCCCAGCGAGTTAATGGCAAGGTGAAAGGAAGGATCTTTGTGGGGAACAGCCCGGTCCCCATCGTCTTTGAGAACACCGACCTCCACTCTTACGTGGTGATGAACCATGGGCGCTCCTACACGGCCATCAGCACCATTCCCGAGACCGTTGGCTACTCTCTGCTTCCCCTGGCCCCTGTTGGAGGCATCATTGGATGGATGTTTGCGGTGGAACAGGATGGATTCAAGAATGGGTTCAGCATCACAGGTAAACTGTCTCAGACATTATAGTCAGTGGGCCTCCCGGGGGTGCCTGGGGAGCCTGGGTGTGAATGGAAGGGGAACTCCAGGTCTGCAGACAACTTACTGATGAGCATTTGGGGGCTCCAGAAAGAAGATGTTGAGGTAAAACCATCATTAATTTTTTGATTAGTATGTACTCACTAAGGCCATCTAGAATTGCATTTTGATCAGGGAGTGATTTCGTGGTGAGGTTTTAGAAGTCTCCAGCGGGGTACATGAGGTCATCTCTTCCACCGTCCCACCCCGAAGTGTTTCTCAAGCCTCCCATCCCTCATTCTGTTTCTTAGTCCTGCCTCCAAATTCCCAGCCAACCTGATCTGATATTTGACATTGCTTCGGTATCTGCTTGGAGAACAGGAAATTTTCATTTCTAGCTGGAAAATTAAACCTGAGAAACACAATCCTCTCAAGTCTTAGAAAACCTGACTTTCCTTGGAGCTTTTTAGAGGCTCTACCCTGTCAGGGACAGTTCAGTCTTTAGTAAACATGTGGACAGATGGTCAGGTTCGGGGGGGGGGGGCATTTCCATAGTGTGGCCATGGCCTCTCCCACGTTCTGCTGAGGCCAGCTCCGCTGTGCATGCTGGAGGCCCTTTCCTGGAACAGCTTGGATACGAGAGACTGTGTCCTTCCTCTCTGGCCATTCGCAGGACCTGGAGCCTGCTCTTTGTCACAGTACTCATCGCTGCCTCTGAGGGCCTCAGTCTGTTATCTCCCCACTGCCTTGCCTGGCCGGAGCCTCAGCCAGACTTTCTCGCGGAGACACAGTGAGGCAGGGTCTCTAGGCTTTGCAAGGGTAACCCTCCAACAGCTACAGAGGCTTCTGGAAATGTGATCATTTTTTTTTTTTTTTTTTTTTAAAGATTTTATTTATTTATTTGACAGAGAGAGATCACAAGCAGGCAGAGAGGCAGGCAGAGAGAGAGGAGGAAGCAGGCTCCCCACTGAGCAGAGAGCCCGATGCGGGGCTCGATCCCAGGACCCTGAGATCATGACCTGAGCCGAAGGCAGCGGCCTAACCCACTGAGCCACCCAGGCGCCCCAATGTGATCATTTTAAGAAAGGAGAGGATACATATTTGGAAAGGGGAGCACTACCCATAAGATACCAAATGCATGGCCTAATATTTTTTCCCTCTCTCCCACAGGCGCATATATCCCGAGTATTATTACTGAGTTCATGTTCTCATGCAAACACGCTCCTTCCTTTGCACACACAGCGGAGCTTTGCAGTCAGACCACAGATGCTGCTCCTTCCCTGCACAGCTTTTCAACGGGGTGTTGCTTTGTCTGTGGGTTCATTTAAACTGGCAATATTTCGTAACAACTATCATCAGCCAGGCCGAGGGAGACTTGACAAATTCCCTGCCACAGCAAATCTGTGTTACTACAGTGGCTTTTAACTGCCCCGGGAACTGGATTAGCACTTGGATATCTGCCTGGGACTTGGGTCCTTACTATAAAGCAGGGGTTGTCCCATTCTCTGCCAAGGGGCAGATCGTAAATATTTGCTTTGCCTAAATATTCTTTTTTTTTTTTTTTAAGATTTTATTTATTCATTTGACAGACAGAGATCACAAGTAGGCAGAGAGGAGGAAGCAGGCTCCCTGCTGAGCAGAGAGCCCGATGCGGGGCTTGATCCCAGGACCCTGGGATCATGACCTGAGCCGGAGGCAGAGGCTTTAACCTGCTGAGCACCCATGCGCCCCTTGCCTAAATATTCTTGTCTATACATCTCCGTTGCAACTCGGGAGCAAAAGCACCATAGCTAGTATGTAAATGAGTTAGTGTGGCTGATGAAACTTTGCTAGTGGGCACTAAAACTCAATATTCATATAATTTTCACATATTATATATGTGAAATATGTATGATAATATACGTACTATGAAATGTTATTCTTTTGGCTTTTTAATAAACCATTTAAAAACGTAAACATCATTCTTGGCCCCAGGGCTGCTGGCCAGAGTTCGCGCCGGGGCCGTAGTTTGCCAGCATCCCCACCGTCCTGGGGGTCTGCACATGTGGAAAAGAGAAGAAGCTGGTAGTAGGGCAAGTGTTTCTGCCTCTGTCTGGGGCTGCACAGGCTGAGGGGAGCTGCTGCGCCAACCCCCGTCGTGAGTGCTCCCTGGGCAGTTTTGGGGACCAGTGATGGTGTGCAGCTCACTGAACTGTTCCAACAGTTGTCACCACCACTTGGCATCTTGGAGCCCTTGACATTTGACAGAGCACTTTTGTAACACGCTTTATCTCATCTAGTCTCCACAAGGTAGCCTGTATCAGTCTTTATCATCAAGACACGGAGGCTCGGCAGTTGGGTAACTTGTTCCGGTTCGCTCAGTCAGTACCTGGCACAGCTGGGAGTCAGACTCCTGTCCTTTGTGTCTCCCAGCTCTGTCCCGCCATGTCCCAGAGGCTGGTGTGGGGCTGGGAAGCAGCTTCTCTCCTCTGTTTGTGTTCAGCGGGGCCGTGTGGAGGTCCCAGCTCTGCCCTCAGCGTCACCAGCTCTGTGTCTCCCGACCCAACTAAAGCACTCATGGAGGAGGTGTGAGTCTCCTTGGGCAGCACCCCCAAGCCTGGGGATGGCCTGAGGGGGACTTCCCAGATGGTAGAATGACGGGCCTTGCTTTCCAGGAGGCGAGTTCACCCGCCAGGCTGAGGTGACCTTCGTGGGGTCCCCGGGCAAGCTGATCATCAAGCAGCAGTTCAGCGGCATTGACGAGCACGGACACCTGACCATCGACACGGAGCTGGAGGGCCACGTGCCCCACATCCCGTTCGGCTCCTCCGTGCACATCGAGCCCTACACGGAGCTCTACCACTACTCCCGTGGGGGTGAGCCACCAGCGCTGCATGGGGGGCAGGGAGGATGGGGGTAAGGAGGTGGGGGGAGGGGGCAAGGGCCAGGGGGAGAGGGTTGTGGGGACAACCCCAGCTCCCCACTGACTCCAGACCTACCCACCGCTCCAGTGGCCCTATGCCAGGGCAGTCCCCTGGGCTTCCTAGCGGGAAACAGATGGGCACTAGCTTATTAAAATCACCTTTTCCTCTAATTACAGACATAATGCACAGACATAATACAGATATAGAAAAATAGTGCCCCAAAAAAAGAAATTACGCATAATGGTAAAACTGGGGCATAATTATTATTAGGTTTAAATTATTTCCTTTCAGCCTTTTCTCCATTTACATATAAAATACCCCAGCAGAGGCTTCTGGCTGTTTGGGTGGTAGGTGGGGGGTGGACTGGAGGATTTGAGCCCCCCCCTTGGGTGTAAAGATTATTTAAAAATAAAAATCTTGAAAAATACCCCATTTTAAATAAATAAGTAAATAAGTGTGTGTATATATATATATATATAATAATTTCAATATAGATCTTGTAAGTCCTAGGGATATAACCTACAGCATGGCTGTTGTATCCGTATGTAAATATATGTGCATATGTATATATGTATACACCTATATTTTAATTTAGTATTTCACATAATTTCACACTTACATAAGAGTTGAAAGTAACACAATTTCCACCTGCCGTTTACCCAGTTTCACCAATTGTTAAGATTTTGCCATATATATTTTACCATTCTCTTACCTAGATATATATATATATATATTTTTGCAAATAATACATTTTTGGAAAGTAAGTTGTAGCCATTGTGATTGTCCACCCCCTGAATAAGTCTCCCGTTTTTCTTAAGAACAAAAATATTCTGTTATGTGGACACAGCACAATGATCACCGTCAGGAAACCTGACATTGATGCAGTATTATCATGTTCTCTACAGTTGGGTATATAGTTTTTTACTTAAATAGAATCGCAGTGGTACCCCATTATTATATCTTCATTTTCCAGTTAATTTAAAATCCTGAATACTTTATAGTTCATTCAATAGGCTTTGAAAATCCTTTTTAATGAATCGGCACTACTCTCTTATATGGCCATTAATTTAAACCATTCTCTTCTCTGAAGCTTATGTTATTTCCAATTTTCCCATCCCACAATGAGTTCCAAGGACCATCTTCATCATAAATCCTGACCAAATTTCTGATTCTTTCCTAAGATTCAATTCCTAGAAGTAGAGTTACTGAGCCAAACAATAGGAGCTTTTTGAAGTCTCTCATTAAATCGCCATCCAGCGAGGTTGTACTAATTACCACGGCTTGTGGCCTGATCAGGCTCCCCTGGAGACCACGCGGCTTGGTAAATGGGAGCTGGAATGAGCAGCGGGACCCCAGCTGCACTCAGCCTGCGACCACATGGTGTTTCTGGCAGCGTAGCACGTGGGAGCTGGACAAGAGGCAGCTTATACTAATCTTTTATTTATCCTCTGGCTTTTGTTATGAACTATAGCAGAGCACACAAAAATAAAGAGCCTTTTATTCTTTCTTTTTTTTTTTTAATAGGAAGTTGGGAGTTTCATTGTATGGTTGAAAATCAGGCTCTCTCCTGAGCGGGGAAGACTGTCTCTCTTCTCCTCTCTTGAGGTTTGCTCACAGCATTTTAGTAATTTTCCAGAAATTGTCTACATGAAACCCACATAGTGTCTTCTTTTTATTTTTTATTTTTTTTGTATCAGAGAACTGCTTCATCTAGGGTGATACATAGCAGCCACTATTTGTTCAATCTCAGATGCAATAACCTATAGAAAGCTGCCAGCACTCTGCTAGTCGCGAGGTCAGTGCTACATCAGTGGTAGTTTATCTTAGTAGCGTTAGCCTGCGTGGGTCCAGAAATTTGATATACATTATCTCATTCTCACCCCAACCTACTTGTAAAAGAAATGGGGACTAAAGAAGTTGTAAGTGGCCCGCGATTGCACAGCTTGTGCGTGCTGGTGTAGGTTCAAGTGAACCTGCTTTCCCGTGTGTGCCCTTTCCACCAGACTCGATCTCTCGGTTGATTCTGGGTGGCTTCAGAAGTTACAAAGAGCCCTTGAGGAGAGAAAGCGGGAAATATTACCAGTGCCAGCAAGACCATAACAGTATGGGAGACCGAGGTAGCACAAGGAGTCCCAACACAGAAGTAAACGGTCTTAGGTACCTGTTCCATCGGATCGCTCATCTGGGTAGAGACCGCTGCCCGTGGTTTGAAAGCCCTCGACTAAACCTCTTGCCCCGTTTGTCGCTCTGCCTTGTCTCCCTTCTCCGGCCGCCGCATCGCAGTGATCACGTCGTCCTCATCCCGGGAGTACACCGTGATGGGCCCAGAGCAGGACGGCGCCGCCCCCTCCGACATCCACGCTTACCAGTGGCGCCAGACCATCACCTTCCAGGAGTGCGCCCACGACCCCTCCCGGCCGGGCCTGCCCAGCACCCAGCAGCTGTCCGTGGACAGCGTGTTTGTCCTGTACAACCGTGAGGAGAAGATCTTGCGCTACGCGCTGAGCAACTCCATCGGTCCCGTGAGGGGTAGGAGTGGCAGCCCGTACCTAACCTCTCTCCTCATCCTTCCGTGTGGGGCAGAGCGTACTGTTCAAGGCCACGGCCAGCTTTGGCAGGGTATTCGAGCGCGCTCGTGCTCGGCCGTGAAAGGAAAGCGTGTGCTCAGGGTCTCAGACTCCAGGTAAAGCCAGTGCAGGTCCGGCACGGAGCCTCCGCACCCCCACCCAGGGGCAGCACGTCACTGGCTCCGAGGTCCGGTCTGGGGCTGCTCCGGGCTGCGTGCGGTGAGCTGGCATTTGGAGAGCTCGTATGCCATCTGCGTGTCACCCAAATCTTCCAGCCCCATGGGCTCCATATGCTTGGGGTCCGGCATTAGGCCTCTTTTTGAATTCTTTTTGGTGCTCCCTGCATACCCAGGCCACCTCCCTGGCCGGCCGTGTTTGTCCTTGCTTAGCTCTATAAAGCAGGAGGAAGACAGGTGTCTTTCTCCCTCCTGTGACAGCTGGGCCCTGGGCATTGGGGGTGGTACTTTTTTTTTTTTTTTCTTAAAAGGCTCCGCATTAAACATTCTAGGCTTTGCCAGCCCTGTAGTGTCTGAAGATCTCAGTTCTACCATTGTGGCACGGAAGCAGCCATAGACTATTTGCAAGTGAATGGATGCGGCTGGTTTCCAATAAAACTTTATTTACAAAAACAGGCATGGATCTGGAGGGACGTGCTTTGCTGATCCCGCCCAAGGGTGACATGGGAATCAGCTGGTTTCTAGTTCCAGGACCCTCTGGGTCATCAGCTGGGCCTTGCTCTCTGTGGAAGGAGGAAACCCGCAGGCATCCCTGGATCACTCACTTGGCTTCCTTGTCTCTCCTTCACAGATGGCTCCCCGGATGCCCTGCAGAACCCTTGCTACATCGGCACTCACGGGTGTGACACCAACGCCGCCTGTCGCCCTGGCCCTGGGGTTCAGTTCACCTGCGAGTGTTCCATAGGCTTCCGAGGGGATGGAAGGATCTGCTCTGGTACAACCATCGCTTCTGACTTGTGGGGGCTGGGGAAGAGGCCAGGAGGAGGTGTCCGAAGTCTGCAGACCAGAGGGCTGGGTGAAGAGGGGGAGGGGCGAGGGGAGCACCAGGGCGTGTGCCAGGCCCCACAACTGGGGTTCTTGTGGTCGTCTTGCAGAACTGAAACACCGTCCCCATTAAACAACTCCCCATTCCCTTGTCCCCCCAGCCCCTACTTCCATGAATGTGACTCTTTAAATACTTCATAGTGTGGCCTTACACGGTCCTGTCCTTCCATGACTGGCTCAGTTCCCTGAGCATAGTGTCCTCAGGGCTCACCACGTGGTAGCCTGGGCCCAGATCACTTCCTGCTGAGGGTGGGAATCGATCCCGTTGGTGCACTCACTGCCGTCTGTTTAACTCCTTCATCTGTCAGTGGACCCTTGGGTTGCTTTGATTTTTTGGCTGGTGTGGGTGATGCCGCTGTGAACCCGAGTGTACGAAATACCTGTCTGGGTCCCTGCTTTCAAGTCTCCAGGGCCGCACTCAGAAGTGGAGTCGCTGGGCCACAGGGTGATTCCCGGTTTGGCTCTTCGAGCACCTCCACACTTCTCCCCTCGCGGGGGTCCCATTTCACATTCCCACCAGCAGCGCACGGGGGCTGCCCTTGGCCACGTCCTGGCCAACACTTGCTAATGCGGTTTATTTATATATTTACTTTGATCATGGCTGTTCCACTGGTGGCAGGTTCGTTCCTTTGTCTGTAGCTTAGAAATGCTGCGGCTTACCCGAGCGAGCTGGTGACACCGGAATGTCGGACCGGGGATCTGACTCACGCGTGAGCGTTATGCTCCCTGCCTTCTCACCAGACTCACTTGATTGTAGTTTAACTTTGAATACTTACCCATGACAGCTGCATACTAATACGTTCTTTTTTTAAGAGTCTTTAAAAAGATTTTATTTATTTATTATTTATTTATTTATTCTTTGTCAGAGAGTGGGAGCAGCAGGCAGAGAGAGAAGCAGGCTCTCCGCTGAACACGGAGCCTGGCGTGGGACTCGATTCCAGGACCCTGGGATCATGACCTGAGCCAAAGGCAGACACTTAACTGACTGAGCCCCTTAGGCGCTCCTGATTATAATATAATTTTGCATACTTACCCATGTGTTTGTGACTAAGTTTTAGGGCACTACCGAGGGTCAGTGAGTTGATTCCTAACACAGTGACGAGTCCATCCAGCAGAAGCAAGCAGCGCAGGAGTGTCAAGCACTTCAGTCAGAGCTGCCTAAATCTGCAGCCGAGGGCTCACTAGCAGGTGTCGCAGATGCTAGGAGGATGTTCCCCTAGTGAAAGAGTGGCATGCACCTGTACGTTTGGCCAGAAAGATGACCAGTCCCCTTGAGGGATTGGGGTCTGAGAATCCGGTGAGCCATGAAATCGAGGGGTGATGCCTAGGGTCTGGCATCCAGCCTTCTGACGAGTGGCAGATTTCGTGTGCTGATTTAACATAAAGGTTGGCAGGTCCTACTGTCAGTATGTTCCTGTATTTGGCTCAGAGTAAGGTGCTCACTGGGGCATCTGAAATAATGGGGAGCAGGAACACGTGCTTGCAGGAACAGACCGTGTAACCGTTTAGCCTGCTGATGGCTTTGTACAGGTGGTAGAATCCAGTCCAAAGCTCTCCTTCCTTGTAACAGACGATTGGGAAGGGGACAGAGTTCCTACGTGCCTCTAATCATCAGAGTGTTCCAGAATTTCCCCCACATGGCCCAACAGTCCTACATGGCTGAGCTGGCTCAGGCCAGTTTGAAGCAGCATGGTAGCTGGGGAGTGGGGGGCAGAGCCCTCCCAGGGCCAGGAAGATGGTTTTGGACACCATGCAGTGAGGGGGCTCCCTCACTTCTCTGCTGGAAGCGTATACCTTCTTGGTCTTTACATGGCCCTACCTCGACTTCGTAAGACGAACATATGTGAGTAAAGCATGGAGACACCCCAACCCACTGCTGCTGAGCCATGACCTCCGGCTGATTCGTCCACTCCCGGCACCTGAGCGGACCGTAGTGGGAATGCTTGCTTCACCTCCCAGCGCACGACCCGGCCATACCTTCCCTACTCTGTTGCTGTCACAGAGAACTCTCGCTGTGCTCGCTCAGGAAGACAGGTGGTCGTGTGTGGACTTGCTTTTGTTCTCTGGTTAGTCCTTATTCTGGGGGATTAGCATGATGGAATGTGAGTATATTCCCGGTCAGGCTACTGTTTTGTTCGGGGTCACTAGAACATGCCTCGGAGTGTTAATGCATCGAGACGTGAGGCTGTTGGTAGGAAATTGCATTAGGCAAATCACGTCGTGTGTTATTTTGACCTGGAAAGTGACTTAGAAGAGAATGAGAATGAGCCTTTGTAACTCAGTTTGTGTAACACTGATGTGATGATAGATGACATCCCCAGCAAGCCCGGTGTTGGCGACACGTTGCATGGTGTCCCTCCAGCATAGCTTGGAGAAGGTTTCCAGACGAATCGCAGAGTTCTGCTGCCTGGCAGGATGACTCCCATACATTCCTCAGCGGGGAGTCTGTAGAGATGGTTTTGGATGACCTCTTCGGGTAATGTTGGGCACACACAGGCACGTAACAAATCAGTCATGAGACTCTTCTCCTCAGAGAGCCTGGCCCTCAGAAAAGGGGCAAATTTAGATTTGCTGAAAATACATGAAAAGTAGCCACTCTGAAAAAAGTTAGGAAGCAATAATTACACAAATTATCCAGGACTTTCCTGTTGGGCTAGAGACTGATCTATGTGCAAGGAGATCTCTTCCCAGAGAGAAAAACAACAAACTTGAAGGAGATTTTGTGATATTTTATGAGGGGGCAGTTAGCACCAGTTTACTGTTTCGACTAAAGGAAGGTTTAAAGTCCCACCCTTGGTTTATAGAAGGGAGGTTTTAGATTAGACATTCGGAAGAATTTCACTATAAGGACGAAACTCCTAGAGTCTTGCCCTACAGAAAAGGTGTCACCTGCTTGGGTGTATAGAGAGAGAAGGACCTTCGCATGCCAGGGGACCATCCCCTTCCTCATCCCACGGGCCCGCAGGTCCTACTGGGCAGCAGTAGGTAGAGGCTAAGGGAGTGCTCACCCTCCTAATCACCCAAGCAGCATCCCTGTCCACAAACCGTGGGGGGAGGACTGGAACTTGGAACACTTCCCTGGGTTATTTCGCTCTGTCCCTTTGACTGAAAATTCTTGCTCTGGGCTCTTGGGCTTTGGCAGTGGAGTCCAAGCTCCGGAGCCCTACAGTCTGAACAGGGCGTGCAGACATCTGTGCAGGGAGTGTCCTCTGAGAGTCAGGGCACAGAGACCATGGAAACTGGACCGATTTTTTTTTTCTTCCTGTGTTGTCGGAGCAGCAGCTGGCGGATGGGGCCGTGCTGAGTATCCCACAGCCGCACGCCAGCTCCAGTTCGTGGAAAGGGCCGCGAAGCCCCCAAAGGGAGGGGCTGTGTGCTGTGACCTCCCACCTGTGCCTGGAGCGGTCCTCTGGTGTGAGATCTCGTATCTTAAACATTGCACAGGAACGTGACATTGGCGATACATATTTAAAAAGCTGAATACCATTTGGTTTGGGTGTTTGCACGGGTAGAGGTCAGGCTCTGGGGCAGATGTGGCAGAAGTGCCTCTCTTGGGCAATGTGGTCCGATAGGCCAGCAGGTTATATGTCTCACCAGGGAAGAGACGGGCGAGGCTGGCCGTTGGAGATAGACGCATGAGGCTTTGTCTTCCAAGTGTGAAAGTTCCCTGAAGGCGTTGGAGGAGGGTGAGAAGAGGAGGGGACTTGTATGATCTCAGCCCACCATGAAATGACGTCCCCATGTCTCAAGGTTCTAGAAATGCCAGCATTTCTAGAATACTCATACTCAGCATACTCGGAGGATGAGGCTGGCATAGGAAGAACCTCGTGTGATTGTGTTTATTTCAGTCCATTAGTGGACAGGTAATCAGGGCGATGACAAGTTAGCTCAGCTTCTCGTCTGGACCAACCAGCCTTGCTGTGGGGTTAGCTGCAGATTGGACCCTGATGTCTGGTGGCCATCTGAGGGCCATGTCCCTAGATCGGCCCAATCCATCCCCACGGCTATAGGATGAACCCCTGAAAATTATAATAATAGCTACGTTTCTTGAGCATACTAGGCGTTCCTCTGGCTTACATCCAACTCCTGTAGTCCTCAGAACCCCTCAAGGTCAGTCATACTGTGCTTCACTTGCCAACGGGGAAACTAAGGCTGAGTAGTTAGTAGCTTGCCCAAGACCACGCAAGCTGGTAACTAAAGGAGGCAGATTGGAGCCTAGCTATGTCCAGCTCCAAAGCATATGGTTTTTTGTGATAGCTTTGGTGTTTGTTGTCATGAGAGGACATCATCCCCCTGCCGGTTCACTGACAAGCTTCCTTTTAGTGCATTAAGCTCTAGACAACATTCATAAATTCACAATTAGGCCTGACATTGTTCAGCTTCGCTTTGTACCTGTAATGGGGCAAGGTAATATTTTTGAGTAGCGCATTTAAGTACGCTCTGTGGCCTCAGGAGCTGTGTTCACAGTCTGGACGCGTGCGCACCCAGCTTTCTGACGTGTGCGCACCCGGCTTCCCGACGTGCGCGCACCCGGCTTCCCGACGTGCGCGCACCCGGCTTTCCGACGAGCGCGGGCCAGCCTGGTGTTAGTGAGCCCCCGACTCAGCGGCTGCCTCCGGGACCCGCAGGGGAAGCACATGGTTACGTAGGAGGGCCTTGGGGTCACTCTCGAAAGTGACACGCAGGAAGAAAGCCCGGGTAGCTCAGTGAAGCGTCCGACCCTTCGTTTCAGGTCAGCTTACGATCTGAGGGTCGTGAGACTGAGCTTTGCGTCTGCTTGAGGTTCTCTCTCCCTCTGCTCTCTTCCTGATGATGAAATAAAAATAAATAAATAGGGAAAAAAATCGTATTCATGTAACTTTTGGACCATAAAAGAGTTTGTCTTAGAATTGATCCATGTGCAGGCCAAAATACTATTTCATTGTATTTACCCATATTTGAAGTGTTTTTTTTTTAAAGTGTGGATTTTTTAAAAAATTTGTTGTAGATATTGATGAATGTTCAGAACAGCCCTCGGTGTGTGGGAGCCACGCCATCTGCAATAATCAGCCTGGAACCTTCCGCTGCGAGTGTGTGGACGGCTATCGGTTCTCAGAGGCGGGAGCCTGTGTGGGTAAGTTCTGCGGGCGACTTGTCAAATCAGGTAAGTTCTTAGGATGACTTGTCACACCGCTCGTGCTCGCGGGCTGTGTTGCCCGCAGTCTGAGTGCAGGCGCCGCCCAGTCATCATCTGGCTAACGTGGGGGCCCCGCCTTTTGTTGTTCGGGGAAGCCGTTTACCAAGACAAACCAGACTTCGTCCCTTCCCTCCACCTACCCGAGGGTCCCACACCTAAGGTAGAAGCAGTGCTAGAATAAGCCACGAGCCTTAGCAGAACTTCTTGGCCCTGTCAGAGGAGGTGAGGAGAAGCTCTTCGTGGGGCTCACCGTGCTCCAGGCCGGTGCTGTGGGAACTGGTGCTCGTGGGCCAGCCCCAAGGGCCAGACTATTCAGACGTTTCCACTTTTTTCCTGCTGCCACACTTGGACCTGGCGGGGGCCAAGAAGTTTAAGTTCAAAGATTCTTGGAGATGTCTGGGTCCGGCAGGCAGCGTGCTGAATGGGCCTCCAAGCTCAACTTGTCCTCCCAATTTTATTTATTTATTTTTTAAAGATTTTATTTATTTATTTGATAGACAAGTAGGCAGAGAGGCTGGGCGGGGGGCGGGGAGGAAGCGCCCCGCCAAGCAGAGAGCCCGATGTGGGGCTCGATCTCATGACCCTGGGACCATGACCTGAGTGGAAGGCAGAGGCTTAATCGACTGAGCCACCCAGGTGCCTTGTGGTCCCAGTTTTTTTTTTTTTTTTTTTTTTAAAGATTTCATTCATCTACCTGACAGAGAGAGACCTCAAGCAGGCAGAGAGGCAGGCAGAGAGAGAGGAGGAAGCAGGCTCCCTGCTGAGCAGAGAGCCCGATGTGGGGCTCGATCCCAGGACGCCGAGATCATGACCCGAGCCGAAGGCAGCAGCCCAACCCACTGAGCCACCCAGGCACCCCCCAGTTTTAAAACAGATTCTTCTTGTGTCGCATCACGGAGCCGCCCCCTTCCTGCTGCTTGGCTGCTCGCTGGAGCCAGGCGTGCTCCTTTCCCTCCGCCCTGACACTCAGGCAGGGCTGCTGAGGTCCCAGGATGCGGTGACGGCCCAAGGGCGGAAGGGAACAGCCCATTCTCGGGTTTTGAACGTGACCCAAACATCTGCACATTTTGGGAAGCCGGTCCCCTTGCACGGAGTGCAGATCCTGGCTCTGCTAAGGTTACTTTTTTCTCTCTCGGTAGAGAACAACCATTTCTGTGTATTTGGCCCAACTTCCTTCCCTGCTTTTTGGAGATGGAGGCGACTTGAACGTTTATTTTTCATGACAGCCCCGTTTCCTTTACGTCTGGACTCAGCCCTGGCGGGTGGGAGAATGCGGCTCCAGGGTCGGTGGCTGGGAGGCGCGACGTCCCCCTGCCGAGTGCACTCACCGCAGGGCAGGGGGGGGGCAGATGTCTGCTCCGAGGCGTTGGAGTTTGAGGAGGACACCTCACGTGTCTGGACTTCATTTCCTCGGGCTGGATCGTGGGCTCACGGGGTTGCCTAGAGCCCTCGGAGGTCCCTTGGGAGCTGCCGGGGAGGAGCCATAGGAGCCGGGGCCCATCTGTCCCCCGCCACGACCTCCAGCCTTTCATTTCCCTGCATGTCACATTCTGGGTGAGATTTTGTCTGAACCGGGGATCCCACTGCTCGGGAACACATGTGACAGTCACCTGAAGCCGTGCCACCGGGTCCGGGCCTCATGAGGCCTCCTGAGTCCCCATTGCCCGCAAGCCCAGCCGCCAGCCCCCATTGCCCAGCTCCTTTGAGAGCCACAGCGTGGCGAGGCGGCTCACGGGGAAAACCGCCTCGGCCTAAACGCGTTACAGCCAGTCACTCTGTCTTGTCGCTGGGTCACCTCTGCCGAAATTCTCCGTCACAACTGTATGCTGCACGGAAAGCCCGGGTTGGAAAGATTTATCCCAGGTCTCAGCAGGGAAGGGAGAGAAGAGAGTTGGGACAGCCGAGGAGGCCGGTGCAGTGGTCGCCAACGGTGAAGAGCTGGGGCTCGTGCAGGGGCTGCGTGCCTCTTTCCGTGAGGTTCGGTTTCCCGTGGGGAACTGCCTTGTGGACTTCCGTGTTTGGCATTTTCTGTAAACCTGCAACCTTTCTCTTTTCCACTGCATGCCAGCTTTTACAGTTAGTTAGAATGTGCAAAGTATGAAAACAGTCCATAAATCACCTTTTTGTGAAGACACAGACAACCCCCCTCTGCATGGCCATAGCCCTAGGATACGCGGCTCTATGTGTGGAACGTGGGGAGATTTGAGGTTCCACTGACCCCCTCAAGTGGGTGTCTTTGTGCAGTGCACAACACCATGTACCTGCCCATCCCACATGCCAGGAAGAGGGCTTGCTTCACCCAGTGTTCTCCCTTCCCTGCCTATCGTATTGTTGGGAAAAATTAATGTAAAACACTCACTTTTGTGACCTTATGTTCAGAACTTAAAAGTAACTAGGGAAACCACCTTCCTTAGAGCTCTTTACACCCTGTACACCTTTCCCTCTTTCTAACCTGTGACTTCTTACCCTTGGTTCTCCTTCCTTCTTGGCATCTCCCCCTTCTCTCCCGTCACCTCATTTCCAGCCCAACCAGCCTGCAGGTGGTTCTGGGGGAATGCTGCCAGGGGGGCGGAAGCGGCTCAGGACCAGCAGCCCGCTATGCTCCTTCCAGGTCAGGGAAGGGTCCTTTTCCATGCTTCTCTTCAGAAAAGGCAGTGCTAGGAAAGCACAACCCCACTTACAGTCTGCCCGGGATTCTAGTTAAATTTTAATTCTCATTTGAGCCTGGTTTTCTCTCCTTTCCGGAATGTACCCCCTTCCTCCCAGCATGTCGTTTCCCGTTTGTGGAAGGGGTGGGATCAGAGTTGTAGAGAAATTGCCAGCTCAGCAAGGTCAGAAACCTTTGAGGAGAGCACAGCGGGGTGCCCCAGTGTCCCCTCCAGTGGCTTAGGTTCTCGGGGCAGCCGCTGTCCTCTGTGACTGTCCTGACCCCTCTCTGAATGAATGTTGTCAGCAAAACCATCTAGAAATTCCAATTGTGTGAGAACTGAGACGCACTGCCAGGGCTGTGGGCTGTGTGCTCGTTGTCAAGAAATGTAGAAGAGATTTTCCCTCTTAACTGACATGAAACCTCCCTAAAAAATGCCTCACGTATTTCTGAAAATGAAACAGGTCGAACTAAACAGTTTGGAATGGTGGGGCTGGCTTTTAAAACTTCTTTAAGAAGCAAATGGCTTTGGCATGGAAAAGTGGTCTTCCGTTAAAAAAAAAAGTGATGTAAAAAAATGCAGTTCTAAATTGCCTTTTTCTAGAAATGATTTGAGGATTATAGAAATGCGTGTGTGACAACAATGGCCAGGAGGGAATGTCGAGACCTACCTGTGCTTGTCCCGTACGGAGGGTCTCTGTTAATTAGGGTGGAGCAAATGAAGCTGTGAGCAAATGTCACTTGTAAAATGGCCACCTATGAGGTGACATAAATATGACATAAATATGTGTTGGAAGAGATAGAGAAAAGAAAGCTGAGTGAGACTCGTTTCCTGGTGGTTTTGTCTGCGGGCACTTTCCCGACCTTTGAGGGACCCTCATTTGTTGAAAGTCGGGCAGCTAAGCTGAAGGAGTTGTGGGGGAGGAGGGGGACCCTAGAGAAGAGAAGAGCCTTAGAGATGAGGGGACGGGAGGGAAGACAGAAGGGCCCAAGGAAGCCGAGTGTGTTCTTGGACTTGTTAGGTATCATCTGGGTGACTGTTTTCCAGAAATTTGGAGCCTTGAGGAATACCCTCTCCTTGACCTGTCCCCTGACAGTGCTTAGAGCTCTCTCTCTCTCTCATGGACAAGAAAAACTGGAATCAGTCTTGGAAAGACTCAGTGAGGAGGAGAAGGAAGAGAAGCCCTCTTTGCTTGGGATAGTCCAGACACCAAGGGCCTCCTTGAAGGGAAGGAAAGGAACATCAGTTCTGAGGGACAGAATTCTGTCGTGGGTCTTAGAGCTTTAAAACCAGAAGCTAAATGGTGCCTTGGGAACCCCAGAGAACCTGCACCCGCCACTGAAAGTACCCCGAGACCTCAGCCCTTGACTTCCATCTTGAGGCAAGAGCACAAGAAGTTATTACCGGCCACCCCCTTGGTCACTCACCCGCTTCCCAAGCCCTCGTTCTGTGGGTTCTATCTTTGGGACCCTGTAAAGAAGGACAGCTCATCCACCAGCCTCCCCACAGAGGAAGAATGTGAGACTCTGAGAAGTGACGTATTCAAAGCCATGTGGCGGACACGTGTGTACCTGGTAGACACTCGGGGATGCTTACACCCCAGAACCCACAATATCTCTACACCTATCTCACCGCCCTGGAAACATTTACTTCTCCTTCCGTCACGAGAAATGCCTTCAGCGTTTGTAGTCAGTGCTCGACCTGCCTGGTGGGCCAGGGGTCAAGCCACCATGCAGAAGTCTCAGGTCCTCGGCTCCAGGTGCCCCAGCAGTGTTGCTGCAGCAAGTGTGTACATACACCCACACATGCCCACCTCCATGTCTCGGTGAACGGAAAGTTGGGTTTGAGGGAGCCAGTATAGAGCGTGGCCTGAGACAGAGCCCTGGGGTTTTGCCAAGGTTGAGTACCAGGTGGGATGAACAGCCGTGGTGTCTGTCTCTGAAGACTGATTGGAGGCAGGTGGCAGAAAACAGAAAATCCAGGGGTACTAACCCACTGGGGGGCAGAGGAGGAAGCCTGACAGGATGTCTGGAGGTCCGGGGTCTAGGCACAGTCCCCTCAGTGGACTAAACCACTGATGTAGAGGGAACTTGCTTAGAAGGCTACCGTGACCGCTTGGGGCCTCTCTCCAAACACTGTGTGTCAACCTTTTGTTTGAAGCTGTTGTGGACCGGCGCCCTATCAACTACTGCGAGACTGGCCTCCACGACTGCGACATACCCCAGCGGGCTCAGTGTGTCTACATGGGAGGGTCCTCCTACACCTGTTCCTGTCTGCCGGGCTTCTCTGGGGACGGCCGAGCCTGCCAAGGTACGTGCTTGCTCTGATTTTTCTTTCCATGGAACCTGAAAGAGAAATCCCATCTGCCAATTACCGGCTCACCCTGAAATTAAGAAAATTACTCTTTCAACTCTGTTGAGTATATGGGCTGCGTTTTGTCTCTCTGCGTAGTGTGAACCCTACGTTTTCCTTTGGGGGCTGTTGTCATTGGAGAAAACGCTTATCCTTCCCCTACTACTTGGTTCTACGTGACTTGCTCACTCAGGCAACAATTAGACTCCTGTTGTCTACTAGGAACTGAGGAGATTTTCTTTGGGGAAAAGGCAAACAACTCTTGGATACATGGGGCTTGAGGTCCGGCTTTTTGTTTAGTAAGAGATATATAAATATATAAATGTGTATATATAATTCACCTGGCCCGCTCTCACCTTCTGCTCTGAAACAAGCCCAGTCTCCTTACTGAATAAATGACTACAGTCAAAGTCAAAATGATTACCCAGAATTCTTTTAGACCTGCGGTCAGTCCTTCATTGGCTCCCAAGATGTTCTTAAAGATTATTTCAGGAAAGAGAACTATGAGAAAATTACCTCCACCCCTTGATTTGCAAAATTGCTTAAAAGCACAGCCAACAGTATTCCTGAAAAGTCCAAGCTTTTCTAAGATTATAAATTCTGAGATACTTTCTTTTCATTACTGAACACATGAATTTTCTCTTATCTCTGAGGTTTTTCTCTCCACCCTTAATGATGTCTCCAAACTCTCCGAGGTTTTTGAAACCCTCTCTTGTGATGAGCAGACTCATTTTATAATGCAAATGAAACTTCTCTATTTTCATTTTTCATGCTTGATTTTCCATGAAAACACTAGCGTTGGAGCGAAACACATTTATAAATACACTGGATAGAATTTAGAGAGCTTGTGTTTTGATGAGTCACGTTTTGTAAATTTTAAATCGCTATTCCCAGATCAGAAACAGAGTCCCCCAGAGTTGAGCAAGTGGTTTAAATTACTGTGTCAACGATGAATTCCAGAAGAAATTTCACTGTCCCCTGGGCTTGGTGGCTGTTTTGCAGATGTGGATGAGTGTCAGTCAACCCGATGTCACCCCGACGCCTTCTGCTACAACACTCCAGGCTCCTTCAAGTGCCAATGCAAACCTGGTTATCATGGAGATGGCTTCCATTGTGTGCCCGGAGGTAAGGTATTGGAGACACTTGGAACTGGTAGTCCTTGCCATGTTTCTGCTACTGAGCACATGGCCCTGGGAGAAGCGCTAAGGTAGGGAAGTTGGAGTCTGTATGGAGAGTCTTAAGGGATGTTAAGGTGGGAGACGAGAGCACAGCTGCAGCGTACAACCGGTTGTGCACTGCACAACGCTAGCGGGTACCACGTAGAACATAACTATACTGGTGACCTCGAGTCTGGGCATCCTTGTAACTTGAGCAAGCAGTTCAGGTTAAAAATGCTCTGTACTAGTCAGGGTTCTCCAGAGAAACAGAGCTAATAGGATGTGTGTGTGTGCATGCACATGTGTGTTATAAAGAGATTATAAGGAATTGGTTTTCCCAATTATAAAGCCTTGCGAGTCCAAGATCTGCAGTTAGCGAACTGGAGGCCCAGGACAGCCCATGTTTCCATCTGAGTGTGAAGGCAGAGAAAAGCTGGTGTCCCAGGTCATTGATCGTTGGGAAGGATGGATTCTCTCTTACTCAGGGAAGGGCCAGCCTTTGTGTTCTAGTCTAGCCTTCCACTGATTAGATGAGGCCCATCTGCTTTCCTCAGTCCATGAAGTTAAAGGGTGATCTCATCCAAAATGTCCTCACGGAAAGACCTACAGTGTTTGACCAGATATCTAGCATATCTCTACCCTGCGGTCCAGCCAAGTTCACACATAAAATTAAGCCATCCCAGCTTCCTGGGAGTCGTAGGGAATAGAGCTCGGTGGGGAGCAGGGGCAAAGGGCCACCACTGGGGGAAGATGCTGGCTAATGACCCTAACAGAACTGTCCACATGGCTACCTATGACACCTGACTGTGGTTTCTGAAGTGAGCTGGTGACCCGAGGCTTGTGTGGCGTCTCATTAGACAGTAAAGATAACGATAGTCCTAGGTCCCTATCTGGAGCTGGTCTGGGAAGGTAGGAGGCCTCCGCAGGTGCTGCCGAACGAATACCTGTAATTGACGGCCGTTTGTGTAGGTGCCTCACCTGTACAGTTTCTCGTGATGTTCGTGATCTTCTTTTTCCGAGGGAGGGCAACTGGGGGAGGGGCGAGGGAAGGGGCAAAGGAGAGAGAGAATCCCAAGCAGACTCCACGCCCAGCCGGAGCCTGACGAGAGGCTCGAGCTCATGACCCTGAGATCACGATGGACCCGAAATCAAGAATCCGATGCTTAACCGATGGTGCCTCATAATCGTCTTTTTAAAATGAACACAGTTACAATCTCCATTTACACCGAGGATCCTGATGCTGAAAAAGATAAAGGTGTAATCAAGTTCCCACTGGTAGTAAGTGCTGGAACCAAGACCCAAACCCAGTTCTGTCGGATGGACTCCAGCCTGGATTCAGTCCCCGGAACCACACGCTGTTCTGTCATGAGATCAAGAATATGCCGGACGCCTCAGCCTGGAGTCATGTGGTTACTTATTTGTAATTATTGCCGCTGTTACTGCCAGACGTATTTATGCCACTGTAACTATGTCCTGTATATGCACAATTATATAATGTTTCAACAAAATATCCATTTTACCACCACCTTGTTAAGCAATTAGTAACTATTTCAGTGCCTATCTACACTAGCCTGTGAGTGTAGGCTGCATATGCGTTTTACTTTTTTTTTTTTTAAAGATTTTATTTATTTATTTGACAGAGATCACAAGTAGGCAGAGAGGCAGGCAGAGAAAGCGGGGAGGCAGGCTCCCTGCTGAGCTGAGAGCCCAGTGCAGGGCTCAGTCCCAGGACCCTGAGATCATGACCTGAGCCAAAGGCAAAGGGTTAACCCACGGAGCCACCCAGGCGCCCTGCATATGCGTTTTATTCCTATGTCCCCAATATCCAGTGGAGGACGTGGCCCATGACGGTGCTCCCCGTCACCAGTCTCCCCTCCTACTAGAAGTGTAGGAAAGTATTTATTTTCCACCCTCTCAACAGGGCTAGGTGTGACCAGTTTTTAGGATAGTCGCCCATCAAAAAGAAAAATAATAAATTTAAGGTTAAAATTTGAACATATAATACTGTACGTTTCTCATCTACATTGTTTTCTTCTGATTAGAACAAGGATCTGCGTCCTGTCATTTGCACGTCAAAATTGGCCCAGCTCCTGTTTTTGTAAATGAAGTTTTATTGGAGAACAGCCATGCTCGTTAGCTTATGTAGAGCCAATGGCTTCTTTCATTTGACACAGGCTGAGTTCAGTAGTTGTGGCCAAGACTATGAGGCATACAAAGCCTAAAATCTCTGCCACTCGGCCCTTGACAGGAAATGTTTCCCAACCCCCAGCCAGGATGAACCGAGGCAGAGCCAATCTTTTATTCTTGAAGTTGTGGGTAAAAACCATCTCGCTGCCCATAGATTCTGATAAGCAGGTTATGTACAGAAGAATTTGTGATAATCTCAGTCAAACATTCCAGCAGCTACTAAAAATGACTAACGCTCATTATTTCCTTAGGCTTGCTTCATATCGCCGGTTCAAGAAGCAGCAGATGTTTCATTTTTTGGTTTTTGTTTTTTATTTTTAACCTCACTCCTTGCCCCTTCCCTAAGGCTCTGTTAACGAAACAGAAACAAATTCAGACCTGCAGGCTGGGATAGGAAGATGGGACAAGGACAAAACCAATCAGAGCTATCTGCTAGGATTGCTGATGGACTCAATCCCATTCTTTCAAGAAATTCAGCATCTAGTTATGTCGTCAAGAGAGGAGTGCGCTAGAAACGTACGTGAGTGTTCGTTGAGTATCGCTGGTAACAACGACAACAGCAAACCAAATGATTGTCAACAGGAGGGCTGGACCAGTGAGTTTTGGTACAATTACTACAATGAAATAATGTACAGCAGTTAAAATAAGTGAGCCAGAATCAATGGGTAATTCTCAAAAACATGGTAAGCAGGAAAAAAGTGACAGAAGGATATATACAGCATGATGCCGTTTATGTAAAATATAACACTATGAAAATAAAGCCATGTGTGTATACATATGTAAGAAAGCTACAAAATGCATATATAGGAATGAAAAACAAAAATCGGGGCTCAAGGTTGCCTACGCAGTGAGAGAGAGGAGGTTGGGACCGAGGAGGGCTACACAGGGGCTGCCTTTGTATTTCTTTTTTTTCTTCTTTTTTCTTTTCTTTTCTTTTTTTTTTTTTTTTTAAGATTTTATTTATGTGACAGAGATCACAAGTAGGCAGAGAGGCAGGCAGAGAGAGAGGAGGAAGCAGGCTCCCTGTTGAGCAGAGAGCCCAATGCGGGGCTCGATCCCAGGACCCTGGGATCATGACCTGAGCCAAAGGCAGAGGCTTTAACCCACTGAGCCACCCAGGCACCCCGCCTTTGTAGTTCTAATTTTTTTTTCAGCTGGAAAATGAACACAGGTTTTCATCATATTTTTCTAAACTTTGACTAAAATATTCTGTGAAATATTAACAGAGAGAAAAATAATATGTGTGTCATCCCAACTCCTATTGCCAAGCACAGTGAGGTACAGGGAATCAAACAGTCAGCACTTAGCTTGGTCCTACTGTATACAGTGGGGACAAGTTTTTAAAAAATCAAACTAAACTGGCTTTGAGGGTGAGTCAGCCAGTTAAGGTCACGGCTACAGCAGTGTCACCCGATGACAAGCAAGACAAGAAACTCGGATTTGTCCCCCCTGCGCCTCTGCACTCTTGCCCACAACCCGTGTGTGAACATCAGTTCAGCAGACTGCTATCATCTTTCCTTTTCAACGGAATAGAACAGAAAACAATCAGGAAAACAACCGAGTAGGTAGAGTGTGCATAGTAGGAAAAAGTGCCGTTTGGTGAAATGATGCTCGTCTCTATGTGTGGATGAGTATGTGTGCATGTGCATAAGTGTGGGGGTGGGGGTGGGGGTGTGTGTGTGGGTGGAGTTGCTGAGTGAAGTGTATTTCTGTGGGTCATGGGCAGGAAGTTTGAGGGCCACCATATTACAGTTGACTCTTGAACAATGTGGGGTTAGGGGCACTGACTCGTGCCCCCCCCACCCTGCAGACATGAACAGTTGAAAATCTGTGTATAACTTTTGACTGCCCCAAAACTTCACTACTCATAGCCTACTGTTGACCAGAAGCCTTACTAATAACATAAACAGTCAATGAACACATAGTTGGTATGTTATATATGTCTTATATACTGTATTCCAGCTATAAAGTGAGCTAGAGGAAAGAAAATGTTATTAAGAAAATCATAAAGAAGAGAAAATATAGTAAAAAAAAAAAAATCCACAGTTCAGGGTGCCAGCATGACTCAGTTGGTTAAGCGTCCGACTCTTGGTTTCAGGTCAGGTCATGATCTCAAGGTCGCAGGGTCGATCCCTGCGTCGTTCTCCACGTTTAGCTGAGTCTGCTTGAGATTTTCCCTTTCCCTCTGCCCCTCTCCACCACTCGTGCATTTTCTCTCTCTTCCAGTCCCTCCCCTAATCTCTCTCTCTCAATAAATCAATCTTTAAAAAAAAAAAACAAAACCCACAGTTCAGACCTGTGTTGCTCAAGGGTTAATGGTAGTTATCTATTGTATTGTAATAAAGGATCCCCAGAGTTAGGAGCTGAAGACATAAATACTTGTTATCTCACAGCTCTGAGGGTCAGGAACTCAGGGGCAGCTTAGCTGGGTGGTCTTGGTTCAGGGTCTCTCATTGGATTGTCGTCAAGACATTTGCTGGGGCTCTGGTCTTCTCTGAGGTTCACCAGGGGCTGAGGGATCCATGTGGTTGCTGGCAAGCCCCTGTGCCTCACAGGCCCCCGGACTGAGAACTGCAGGTCCTCACGGCCTGGGTCTCTCACAGGGCTGCCTCAGTGACTTCAAGATCTGGCAGCTGGCTTCCTCCAGAGCAGGTGGTAAGAGAGAGAGCGCGAGTACATCCAAGATGGAAGCCAGTCTTTTGTAACCTCATCTGGGAAATGAAAGGCTGTCACTTGTGATACTCTTAGTCACAGGGCAACCCTCGGACAGTGTGAAAGGGAATTGCCTAATATGAGAATGCCAGGATGCAGGAGACTGGGGCCATCTTGGAGGCTGCCTACCACAGCCGCCAGCCTTGTCTGGGGGAATGCAATTGTCTAGAGTGTTGGAAAGTAAGAGACTGGATTAGTAGCAGATCAAAGAGGCATCTACAAAGTCCTGGCTAGAGTCATAAAGCCTGGTCCTTAAGGGCACATACCACGCCTGCCGATGTTGGATTACGTCTCTTCATGCTCGGCACCCATCACGCTTACCAGCGTGTTGCACCAGCAGACACAGTACACATCTTTAGACACAAAGGAATTCAGGAGATCAGAGAGCAGGGCTTCAAGGAAAGATGAAAACATTTAGGATAATACAACTTAAGGAAAACTGAGAAACAATTTAATGGACACTTTTTGTTTGTGTCTTATCGTTTGTTTCCCTGTGCACTTTGCTTCAAACAAACCCAGTGTTAGAAAACTTGAATTTCCCAGTGAGAGCTGGAAGGGCTCTAGAAATTCTATAATTCATCTCCTTTGTTTTATAAACAAAGAACATGAGGCCTGAATAATTTTTTGGTTTACAAAAAGTTCCTTGAACTCCTTATGTAAGAGAATTTTCTATGGCAGTTTTTCTCAAAATTGAGTAAGACCTTTAAAAAAATTTCCTGTGGTCTCTGGTGTTAGATTATTTTTATTACAGATAAATCCATCTGCGGGAAAGAGCCCCTAGGAGTAGCTGGCCCCTGGTGGGGGCAGAGTAGACAGGAAGAGGATACATAAGGAAGGCCCCCCCAAAACGAGTTCCTCCACCCCGAGTGTATCAGAGACTACACTAGTTACTTATTTTGGATTAACACGGAGAAAGAAATTTAATCAGGCCAGGAAATGAAATGCAAGTGAAGAGATTTAAAAGGTGCTTTTTCCCCCCATTTCTCTTTATCATTTTTCTCTCATTTTCTTTGTCCCCAACCTTGAGAAAGTCACCCCAGACTTCCTGCTCATCCCTGGATAAATATCGGGTCTTGACTGCTTGCTCAGAGCAGATGAGTAAAAAGAATCTTGCCCGAGTTGTCATTTTATCAGGCAGGAAAAGGGCCAGGAAATGTGTCTTTATTACCCCTCCCATCCGGCCCGCCCGCAATGGAAAATTCCCCATGGAGGGCTGAGACCCTCAGCAGGGGGCTCCCACTGGGGCTGCTCCTGCTAGCCGGGCTGGGAAGCCATCCCAGGAAACCCAGTGACGTTGCAGCTTTCCGTAAACACACTTGAAATTCCATATCCTGAGTCCCAATTGGTAGTTTTCTCCTCCTCTTTGTAAGTTCAAGATACAGCAACTTAAAAGTTCCTCTTTAAATTGTAGATCACTTGAGACTCTGTGTGTTGGCCAAACACCATGTCAACACAAAACTGTCAGCCACATAAAATGGAGTCACCCCTACTTCCTTAAAAGTTAGGTGTTGTTGACAGCACACGCTCAACACCAGTCCTGTTCTCTAGTTGGAAAGGCAGCACCATATATAGACGCTGGTGGAAGGAAACTGAGTCTGGGGGCACCTGGGTGACTCAGTGGGTTAAAGCCTCTGCCTTTCACTCAGGTCATGATCCCAGGGTCCTAGGATCGAGCCCCGCATCTGTCTCTCTGCTCAGCGGGGAGCCTGCTTCCTCATCTCTCTCTCTGCCTGCCTCTCTGCCTACCTGTGATCTGTCTAATAAATAGATAAAATCTTTATAAAAAAGAAGGAAACTGAGTCTGTGGGCCACAGATAATTTCAGTGTGTGCATTAAGCTCGCTTGTATATATCACCGATGACATAACATGTCTGGTGTTCATGAGCTGTTCTGGGCTCTGGGCTTGTGGATACAGAGGGGCTGAGCCAGGAATCCAATGACCCAGGTTCTAGCTTGCGGTGAGCCCTTTCCTAGTGCTGTGGCCTGGGAACCCCCTTACCAGCCTGAGCCTTGGCTCTCTCATGTGGTATAAAAATGGAGTTGCCTGTTGCATACTGTTCTGGTAGAGAATTAAATGAAACACGTGTGAATGGAGACAGTTGATACGGGAAACTTGCAAACCCTGTGTACGTGCAAGATACTGAGGAAGGAACAAATTCTACATCCAAGAGCCAACAAAACCCAGTATCTTATTCTCAAGCAGAGGGCTTATTTGTATCTTCGCTTGGCTCTTCCTACATCAAATATGTTGTTTGTTTGTTTGTTTTTTAGTATTAGCCCCCAGGACAAAAGGGAAAGCATACCCACTCTTTCCCTTGCCAGGTTCAGCATACACTTTCCTGGCCTCACTCACTGCTTCTGATCATGGGAGCAGCCCCATGAAGCAGACTAGTGTGAGAACTGGCAGCATAGACAGAAGGTACTTTAAATATTTGCTGGCAACACGCACACAATATCACCATGGAGGCCATGTTGCAGTGACAAATGAACATTTGAGTGTGGAATTTCAAATTCCGTCTGTACGTGTTGTCCCGTCATATTTCCCTTACTCCTCACAATAACGCATGAGATTAGTTACTGGCGCCATCGTGGTCCTACGGTGAGGAGTGTGGCACATCCAGCATTGCGGACGCGCCCAAGATAACACCAAAAATGGTGGAACCGAGAGTCGAAAACACTTTTCAGACACAAAGTTCTGTGAAACAGATTATTATCTGTTATGTTACAATGTGTCTTATTACTAATACATCATATTAGTTAACACGTATTCATATGTGAATGAGCATATTTATATAAAATTTCTCCCTAACATAACTAGTAATGCCCTAGAGTACAGGTTGATAGCTACCATCCCCACAGGCCAAATCTGGCCCACTGTCTGTTTTTGTAAATAAAGTTTTATTGGAACTCTCATTCATTTACGTATTAAATTTGGTTGCTTCCATGCCACAACTGCAGAGGTGTGGCCGCCCTCCAGCCAGTGTGGAACCAGCTACAGCTCTGCGTACTGGGGGATTGTTGATTCTAGGCCATTTCCCACAGATAGAGAAGGATTTCCTTACCTGGGGATCCTAGTTGCACGGTTAAAAGGCCATGTTTCCTGCCAAACACAAGTTGAAAGGAAAGCACAGATTTGGAAAATGTGCCCTGGGGTGTTTGGTCTCCCAAATCTTTGATCTCGACTCAGCGTGGATAATCAAGAAGCTTGATACAAAGGGTGAATTTCTCTTAAAGAAATACAAAGAAACGAAGTCTCTTAAAACAAATTTCTGTGATGCCCACCAAGTGACGAATGGATAAACAAGATGTGGTCTAGCCATCCTGTGGAATACTGTTCAGGCATAAAAGGAAATGATACACTGCTGGATCCTACACTATGAATGAACCCCGAAAACCTGCTGAGTGAGAGCGACCAGGCACAACGGGTCATGCGCCGTATGCATGACCGTACGTGTCACATTTATAGGAAATGTCCAGGAGAGGCAATCCATGGAGACAGAATGCAGGTTGCTGGCTGCCAGGGGCGGGGAGGAGGTGGGAGTGGAGAGCATGCTGCTTCTAGGTGTGAGCTTTCCTTTGGAGCCAAGGACGGTGGATCAGAATCCCATAGAGGTAGTGGTTCGATGTCGTATCATGACTACTAAATGGCACTGAAGGGCTCACTTCGAAATAATGAATGTTATGTTCTGTCCGTTTTGCCTCAGTGTTTACAAACTGCAAACAAATCACATAGGAGAGAAAAGAAAATGTAAATATCATCTTGACAGTGACATCCGTTAAATAACATTTTAAATTTTAGAAAGTGAACAACACAAAACCCAACGATCAGTTTTCATGGGTCTGCGTCTGCCATGGGGCTCCCGCCCGGCGACCCAGCTGACCGCCTCCCCTGTGCTTGTCTCTGTTGCAGAAATGGAGAAAACCCGATGCCAGCTGGAGAGAGAACACATCCTCAGGGCAGCGGGGGTGATGGTCCCACAGCGGCCCGGCCTGTTTGTTCCTGAGTGTGACGAGCACGGGCACTACGTGCCTACCCAGTGCCACGGCAGCACGGGCCAGTGCTGGTGCGTGGATCGTGATGGCCGGGAGCTGGAGGGCACCAGGACCAGGCCCGGGATGAGGCCCCCATGTAAGTCGGAGGGCAGCACTGCACTGGGCTTGGGTCTGAGAAGGGCCTCAGAGACCAGAGTCCCAGTGCCTTTGAGCATCCCTGGGGGTCTTGCCCAGGGCACAGGCGGCACGTTCTGTCTACCCTAAATCCTGCACTGCTCCGCCAGCCCGGACCCCTCCCTTTCTGCCCTCTGCACCTCTCTTCTCTGTCTCCCTGGTCATGCACCCACCTCCTCCATCTCTCTATCCCCACCACTCCCCCATACCTGTTCTCTTCCTCTCTGCACGCCTGTTGTGTACAAATGCTGGTGGGACCCGCTGCAGCCATCCTGCGTGGGTAGCACAGGGTATGTGTACTGTGGGTCCCCCAGGGCACACTCCGTGCAGTGGCCGCCTGGCCTTCCAGCTGTGTGCTTTGTGGTAGGCTTGGAAGAGGGCCCCCCCGAAGGCCTTCCCTGGGAGGTGCGGGGCCAGGAGCAGGGTCGGGGAGTGTGAGGCCAGTGGGTCTGTGCTGCTTGGGACCTCTCAGCCTCTCTCTAGGATGGATCCCAGCTCTACAATCCTGCTTCTGTCTCAGATGGAGGAGATGGTCATTGTTGCACGTAATCAAAATCAAACACAATCAGTCCTTGAATCTCCATTCTCAATTCAGCTAGTGACCAGCTATTTTTGCAAAGCTGCTAAGAGGCCAAGTGAGTAGGAAGTGGTCTTAATTCAGCTCAGCATTAACTGAGCTTCCAATGCTGGGACCAGTGCCTGGGGGTCCAGAGGGGTAAGTCACAGCGCCGGCCCCCCAGAACCTGGTGGGACAGGTGAACAGGGGCAGGGCAGGGAGAGGAGCTCACCGAGAAACCCAGAGGCTTATGTGGGCGGTGGGCCAGTTGGGGAAGGTGTTGCAGAGCCAATAGGTTACCAAGCAGAGGCAAAGGCAGGAGCTCTGGGGGGGCTGGGGTTGAGGGGCCTGATTCAGGCAGCAGGTGCAGACTGAGAGGTCAGAGAGAGGAGGGGAACCTGGGGGAGGGCCTTGGATGCCCAGCAGAGGGCCTGGACTTGATCCCGAGGGCAGCCGGGAGCCTGGGGAGGGTCTTGAATAGACATTGATGCAACCAGGTTCGGGTTTTAGAAATACAGCGGCTGGCTGACGGGTAGAAGCTGAGCTGGAGTAAGTGGCCCCGACAGGTGCCTAACAGGCGAGCGAATGACCAGCCGGCAGGCTGGCAGGGAGTTTGGAGAGGAGGGATGGATTCCAGAGAGAGAAGAGGTCAGCCAGTCTGGTTCATGTCACTGACTGGGTGCAGTGGGCAAGATAGGCGGGCAGGGAAAAGAAGGGGAAACGGCCCCAGTGAGGACCGTCCAGCTCTCTGGTCAGAGAACCTGAGCCAGAGCCCGAGCCCTGGAAGGCCCACGTCCGGGCCCCCAACCTGTAGCTGGGGCAGCCTGTTCCTCCTCAGGACATTCTCTCATCCTGGGGGGGAGTCAGGAGTCATGCCGGCTTCAGGGGCAGCACTTAGGAGGCGAGGCTGACTCTCGGGAAGAACGGACCCCTGACCCGTGTTCTGTTCCTGAAAGGCCGGGTGGGCTGTGTGTCTGCTCACGGGGCTGGGTCCGCAGGGGTGAGCAGGGCCAGCTTGCTCTGAGAGCCCCTCCAGCCTGGGGAAGCCCAGCACCTTCCACTGGGGTGTGAACTGCCTGGGGGCAGGGGTTCTGGGGGGGCTGTTCTTGCTGTCCTTTTGGTTCATGTGTCCGAAGCAGGGCAGGAGCGGTTACAGTATTTCTGTTCCTAAGGGAAGGCTAAGCCCTTGCTTTGTTTTCCCTTTCCACATGACCTTTAATATGAACCTCAGGCCTTGCCTTATCATCTTCACAAATGCCCTCTGTGGTCTTTCCGCTCCTCATGTTTTTAGAGGTACAGTGAGCATTGTGTGGTTGTGCCGTTTGTGGTGCCATGAAGGTGGCGTGACCCTGGGCGTGTGTGCACCCACGCGCGTGCATTGGTGTGTGTGTTCCTACTGCACGCACACCTTGCTCACTGACCTCTCTTGCCACCCAGGTTTGAGTACAGTGGCTCCCCCGATTCACCAAGGACCCTCCGTTCCTACGGCTGTGATCCCCCTGCCGCCTGGGACCCACTTACTCTTCGCTCAGACGGGGAAGATCGAGCGCCTCCCCCTGGAAGGAAGCAGCTTGCAGAAGACGGAAGCCAGGACGCTGCTGCATGCCCCAGTGAGTGCTGGCTAACGGCCCTGCGCGACAGCCGGCTTCAGGGACCTGGAAAATCAAGCCCGGGGTCGTTAGACCAGCCCCAGGCCTTGACCCCTGGACTTGGGGGCCTCGTGATTTCCATGGGACCCCAGTTGCCATCTCTGGATGGGGCCACTTGAGCTGCCCGCCCATCCAGGAGGGGATGAGGCAGAAGCAGGAAGGCCTTTCGGAGACCACCGTGGCGTCTGACCCCTTGCGTGGGGCGTCACAGGAGTTGGTGTCTCATCTGGGTGCCTCTCCCAGGTCCCACCTTGCCGTGCCGAATTAGTGCGGTGGCTCAGGTTTGGCACATCAGCTCTAGAGCCTCGTATCTGCCCCGAGGCAAAAACAGCCTTCAGCTTTGAGCTTTTCAAAGCATCAAAGATGCATTTTGTGAGCAGGAGACTTTTGTCTGTTCGAGGTTGGATGCTTTTTTTTTTTTTTTTTTTTTTAAGATTTTATTTATCTATTTTTGCAAGAGAGAGAGAACAAGCACACGCCAGATGGGGTGGTGTAGAGGGAGAAGCAGGCTCACCGCTGAGCTGGGAGCCCAATGTGGGGCTTGATCCCAGGACCCTGGGATCATGACATGAGCCAAAGGCAGATGCTTAACCCACTGAGCCCCCCCCCCACCAGGCTCTCCGGGGTTGGACGCTTCTGAAAAGCCATTTAGTTTCATCTGCTATCCTGACCACCCCCTCGGCAAGAAATCCGGCCTGAGACCTGGGGGCTTCCGGCACAACTCGGTCAGGGTTGCCAGGGTTGAGGGGGACCCTCAAGTCCCATAAGGAGTGAAGAGGCTTTTCTCAAAACCTGTTGTCATTAGCCTTGACCGGACTATTCCGATCATATTCCTGCTCTACACAAAACCCTCTGATGGGTTCTCCCTTCACCCGGAATAAAACCCAGTTCTTCCCATGGCCCCCAGCCACTTCTCGCACCCCATTCCCTGTCACCGTCCAGCCCTGGCCCCCACCAGCTTCAGCCGTCCAGCCTTCTGTCTGGTCCAAGACACGCCATACACATCCCCGTCTCTGGGCCTTTGCACTTACCGTCCCCCTGCCTGGAGTCCTCACCCTCCTCGGCACTTGTGCAGTTCCGTGCCTTGCCTCATCCCACTTCTGTTGGCATGGCACCTCTCTGGGAAGCTGTCCTGGCCGTGTCCACACTGCTGTCTCCCTGTCCTGCTTTGTCTTTACCTTAGCACTGCTGGATACGTTATACAACAACATACATGTCTGTATCTGATGAATCTGTTCCCACTAGGAAGGAAGCTCCCGAGACCAGCAACGGCTGTCTCTGTCACGGACATGCCTGTTTCCCACTGCTGGGTCCTAGAGCCAAAACAGTGCTTGGCACGTGGGGACTGTTTGCAGAATGAATAAGTGATTGTTGTATTCTTCTGCTGCCTCTTGGAAGCATAAATCTCTTCGGGGGCAATCATCATTCTTTCTTCGTGTCCTCTGGTGCACGCGCTCAGGGTGCAGGAGGGGGTTGAGCCCCTGTGACAGTCATGGTCGCCCAAGACAAAGGCAGAGCCCCAATGTCAAGTGAGGCTGTGAAAAGCAAAACACTGAGGTAGGACGAGTGGAGGGGAGGGCCCTGAAACAGCGGGATCAACGTTCACCAAGTTCTTTTAATGTATGTGTCTTTGGTGTAGTTTTACCGTTTTCACTGCTTCACCGCGATGACACAGCCGACGGCCCCAGCCACCCTCATCCCACAGAAACACTGTCCCCGTTAAAGAATAGCCCCATCCTTCACCAGCCATGAGTCTACTTGTTGTCTCTATGGATTTGACTCCTCTACGGTGCCTCATGCATTCGGAATCCTATGGTATTTATCCATCCGTCCATGGTGTGGCAGGTGTCGGAATTTACTTTCCTTTTTTTTTTTTTTTAAAGATTTTATTTATTTATTTGACAGACAGAGATCACAAGCAGGCAGAGAGGCAGGCAGAGAGAGGGGGGAGGCAGGCTCCCTGCTGAGCAGAGAGCCCGATGCAGGGCTCAATCCCAGGACCCTGGGATCATGACCTGAGCCGAAGGCAGAGGTTTAACCCACTGAGCCACCCAGGCGCTCCGAATTTCCTTCCTTCTTAAGCTGAATAATATTCGTGGCACAGACTGAGCACACTTGGTTCATGCATTCTTCATCGATGGACACTTGGGTCACTTCCACCCGTTGGCTGTCGTGAGCAATGCTGGTGTGAACACAGGTGTACACATTTCTGTTCAAGTCCCTGCTGTCTCTCTTTTTGACCATAAACCAGGCCTGGAATTTCCAAATCATATGGTAATTCTGCAGATTTTTAAAAAATTTTTTGAGGAACTGCCATACTGTTTTCCTGAGTAGCTGCACCATTTTACATTTCTGTTGGCAGAGTACAAAGATTCCAATTTCTCAACCTTCTTGTCAACACTTACTATCTTCTGGTTTTTAATAGTAGCCATCCTAATATGAGTGAAGCGGGGTCTCATTGTGGTTTTGATTTGCGTTTCTCTAATGAGGGATAGTCTCTTGTTCTCATGTACTTATGGACCATTCGTGTGTCTTCTTTGGAAAAATGTCTACTCGTATCCTTTGCCCATTTCGTAGCTGGCTGGCTTGTTGTTACAGAGTGGTAGGATTTCTTTATATATTCACTTTGCATTTCCATAGATATTTTAGAGTAAGCTTGTTTCTACCAAAGGGGGAAAAAAGCCTGCTGGGATTTTGATCTCGATGGCACTGAGTCTCTAACTCTGTTTAGGAAAAAAATGATATCTTAGCGATATTAAACCTTACAATCCATTAGACTGATTTTTCTCTTCATTTATTTGAGTCTCCTTATTTTCAGTCTGTGATGTTTTATAATATTCAGTATAGTATCTTACATATTTAAAAATATTTGTTCTTAAATATTTCCGTGCTATTTTTTTGGTGCTATTATAAACATTCCTTACTTTTTGCTACTATGTAGAAATACCATCTTATATTGACCTTGTGCCCTGCAACCTTGGACTGAATTCAGTTGGTAGTTACGATAGTTTTATAGATTCCCCAGGATTTTCTACATAAACCATCAAATTGTCTTAGAGTGGTTTCACCTCTTCCTTTCCAATATTTCTGTCTTTTTTTTTTAAAGATTTTATTTATTTATTTCAGAGAGAGAGAGAGTGTGTATGCACATGTGCACAAAAGAGAGAGAGAAAGAGAGAGAAAGAGCGAGTGCATGAGCAGCGGAGGGGGGCACAGAGGGAAGCAGACACCCCGATGAGCAGGGAACCCACTTCAGGGCTCAATTCAAGGACCTGGAGACCATGATCTGAGCCGAAGGCAAACACTTAACCGACTGAGCCACCCAGGTGCCCTATTTGTGTCTTTTTTTTAAAAGATCTTTAGGTAGGTAAAAATCCCTTAGATATATAAAAAGCATTAGTCATAAGAGAAACAATAATAAATCTAAATAAATATTTTAAACTTTTGTTTTTGAAGAACGCCATTAAGAAAATGAAAATAAAACAAAAACAAAGTGAGAAAACAAACTACATAATGAGTGGAAATATATATACACCTACACACACACACACACACACACACACACACACACACACACACACACATATGTATAATGCAAAAGATTTTCATCCGAACTACATAAAGAACTCCTACACCTCAATAATAAACATTTTTAAGTAGACAAAAGACTTGAAGAGACTTCATTAAAAAAGGTGTCCATGGGGCACCTGGGTGGCTCAGTCAGTTGGGCACCTGCCTTCAGCTCAGGTCATGATCCCAGGGTCCTGGGATCAAGCCACACGTTGGGCTCCCTGCTCAGTGGAGACTCTGCTTCTCCCTCTCCTTCTGCCCCACCTCCTGCTTGTGCTCACTCTCTCCCTCCCTGTCTCTCTCTCACTGTCTGTCAAATAAATAAATAAAATCTTTAAAAAAAAAAAAAAAAGTCCAGGTGCCTGTAAGCGCATGAAAGATTCCCACCATCATTGGTGACTCATGCTAGTGAGTGGGCCATTCTTATGCTGTCTGTACTTCCAGGATAAAGTCATCATTGGACTGGCCTTCGACTGTGTGGACAAGATGGTTTACTGGACCGACATCAGTGAGCCTTCCATTGGGAGAGCCAGTCTGCATGGTGGAGAGCCAACCACCATCATTCGACAAGGTGGGCAAGCAAACACCACTCTCTCTTCTTGGTTTGGCTTCCGGCAGCCCAAGTGGCTCTTGGGGAAGAGCAGAAGGGGTGTGTGGTTGCATACAGGATATAGGGATTTGAGCGGGGCTGGGTTTTTGGCCTCAACACCACCCTTTCCAGCCTTCTCTAAAAAGCCCTCCAAGGACTCATCATGAAATCGTGAACACCTTATCTAGGATTTGTTGCTAGCCTAAGAAGAATAAAATTAAAACTGGCTGTTGAGCCTAGAATTGATTCTCAGAATGTCTGCCTTATGGTATATGCTCCATTAGGTAGCTGCGTCATAAAGTCGGGAGGATTACAAGCATATTGGCAAACATTATCTCTGATAGTTGTCTCTTCCCGAGACAGTTTTCAAGTCAGAAGTTATCACTTCCTGTGACATCACGGTGGGGGCGCCTTTTTTCCTTTACTCCCCATGGCACTTGCTCAGACCGCCTGTGACTGAGTACAGCAGAGCAGGCTGAGCTTTCACAGGTATCCTTCCAGTTTTAGTTGCATCACTGATAACACAGCGCATAACACTTTGGCACAGCCCACCCCTCAACACTTAACCTCGATCGATTCCTTAACTTATAGAGGTCGATTTAAGTCAAGGACTCTGTGTGTTGTTGTAATGTCTACTTTCAACAAGTCATGACTATTTTTGTGGATATGTTTTATCAAGATTATAAAGACCCAAGGACCTGTATAAATTCCCCTTTACTGAAAAGGTCAGATGTCACATATTGCTAAATCAGTAACTCATCAGCTGACTTGCAGGTATTTTCAGTCAAAAGACGCTGTCATGCCAGTGATAGGTCTTGTATAACATCAGTCTCGCTTCCTCTCTAGAGCACTCAAATCGAAGACACACCTTCAAAATGTTTGAGCCTCATTTGGTATTTCTTTCAACTTGGGGCTGAATGTTGCTTTCCCAATTTCCAATTTAATATCTCTGTAAAAATTGATATTCTGGAAGGGTCCCTGTGTCTGTGGAACAGCCTGTGCGGCAGTTTCTTTTGTTTTGTTCTGTTTTGTTTTTTTCCTTCCTTGGCTCCTTCACAAAAGCTGATGCAGCAGGAGCAGGAATCAAGCTGAGGTTGAGTTAAACACGTCTAGCTTCGGACATAGATCCCACATCCTTTTCTAGAAGTCAAGGTGCTGCTTAAATGATGTCTGCCAGTTTTCATGGTTTGGCTTAATGAGCAGAATTTTGAAAATGCCTTTTTGTGTCTTCTCTCTCTCTCTCTGTTAAAAATATTGCTGTTATCTTTGGTGTGACTTGAGAACCCAGTGGAAGGGGGAGTAGGTCATCACTGCTATTTCCTGTTGCTTCTGGAACTGATAATCATCCAAGAAAGCTTTAAACTCAGTAAGAAACATTCCAGGCAGAAGTCCACTGTGAAAATAAAAAATGAAACTAGAATGTGACCTTTGTAGAGGAAAGATCACTGGGGATAAATTTTCTTTTATTTAAAAAGAGAGAAAGAAATTTCCACGTCAGGACAGGTTGGTGCCTCACTAGTGAGTGAAGGTAGAATGGGGAGCTCTTCTTTATTTCATGCTGTCCGAATGCTAAGCATCTCTCTCCTTCCTTGAGTTAAACTAACCAAATATCTTTAATAAGTCTCGTAATCTGTTCCCTCTTGATGTAAGCAGTATGGAAAATACTGCCTTGCTGTCTTGCCTTCTTGCCCTGATTGCACAGTAAAGGGTGAGGTTTTCCAGACCCTTCTTTGGCATGATAGTTCAAAAGGAAGTATTTTCCCAGGTATATCTGGGTGGCTCAGTTGGTTAAATGACTGCCTTTGGCTCAGGCCTGGGTCCCAGGGTCCTGGGATCGAGCCCCATGTCCAGCTCCCTGCTCATGGGGAGTCTGCTTCTCTCTCTCCTACTTCTGCTTGTGTTCTGTGTCTCACTGTATCTTTCTGTCAAATAAATAAATAAAATATGAAGAAGAAGAAGAAGAAGTATTTTCCTGGTTGGAGGAGGAAGTTTGATTGCTCTTGGGTTCGAAGTCGGGACCAGAGCTGTTCATAAGGAGACAGAATGACACGGGGTTTCTGGGTGCCCCTGGGTGTCTTGTGACATAGTGCCATTGAACAGCCTTTCCCCCCGACTCTTCTTTGTGTCTGAGTGCGGCAGACACTCTGCGGTGTCACTGGCGGAGGCCGTGCTCGTCCCAGATATACCCCAGAATGATTTATTCTGGTTTTTGTCTGAAAGACACAAGAGGTCTGCAGAGGTCAGACTCGCTGCCCCTTCTCCTCTAGGGATACGGGAAATATTGTAATACCTCACAGATCTCTACTTCTGGTTTGAATAATAAAAACCTTGTTCAAGGGCTGTTCCTCATTCTTAAGAAACTTGCCCTGGCAGGGGTCCTTTCCAGGGGGTGGGGCTTTGGTGTTTCCAACGTCCACAGTCAAGGTCATGTTAGGCACCGAGGGAAGGCTGCTGTGAGAGAGCTGAGGGTCTGAACCACTTACACATCGACAAAGGAGCACATGATTCCTCAGATGCTGGGGGAGGATTTCCTCCAACCTGGATTCCTTGGGTTAGGGTAGCTCCATCCTTGACCTCTTCCCCTGTTGGCTTCCAGCCGTACTAAGTGACCTTTAGCTCTCAAATCAGTAAGAGGACAGAATCCTTACTTACTCCAGAAACCCTGGATTGGGATCTAATGTTTAATTTGCTTTTATACATCGTCAGGGAATCAGTGCAGCCTGGAACTTGTGGTGAGGTTAGACGGGCACTGAAGGCTTGTACCGCAGCTGGCTTGTTGTGTGGCAACCCTGACTAGAAAGTCAGTCACTGACAAGCTAGTAAGGACTCTGGGAGTGTTACTTGTGATCACGGGACACCCCTTCTTTGTACTTCTAATACTTGCAGAAAAGAAATAACAAGCTATGATTTCTTGCTATTACTTCTCTGAGGTGACCCTTTTCCCCCAGTAATTAATGACTAAGGCAAATCTGTTTTGTTCCATCTCTGGCTGTTCTCCCACCCCCATGGACTCCAGCCACCCACAAGTACATATAGTCCACTTCAAGCTGTGTCCAGTCTTCCTTTATACTCATGTGCTGGCCCCTCTGTCTGGCAGCCCTCATCTAGGATCTTTGCCTGGCAAACTCCTACTAGTCCTTTGGGAGCCAGCTTCACGTGTCACCTCCCCTAGAAATCCTTCCTGGGTCTCCCCAGGCTGAGTCCGGTGTCCGCCTCCACGTTCCCATAAAACCAGAACTCCGTCTGAATTACGAGAGCTTGCAAGCTCCCGGAAGCCAGGGCCACAGCTGAGGTGTGGTAGTGGGCGTGGTTCCCAACGTGGTACCCAGGGTAGATGCCTGCCAAGTCAATGAGCGACATTTTTTAATTCATCACTTTGAATGCTGGTTAACTTATCACAGCGAGCATTCCACATTCCCTTTTGTTTTCCCAAAGTCCAAGGATTGAACACTGCGTGAAATAACACCGAGTAATCAGAAAAACCGAATCCCACCTGCTGAAAAAACCCAGAAGTGTCCTGTGTTTGGTTCTAGATCTTGGAAGTCCAGAAGGCATCGCCCTTGACCATCTTGGCCGCAACATTTTCTGGACAGATTCTCACTTGGACAGAATAGAAGTTGCAAAGCTGGATGGCACCCAGCGCCGGGTGCTCTTTGACACCGACCTGGTGAATCCCAGAGGCATCGTGACCGACTCCGTGCAGGGGTAACGTGGTGGAAATCTGGGCGCGTCTAGTCCATTTGCTGCTGCTCTTTAATATAGTTTCAAGCGTCAGTCTCTAACTCTGGCACTGCTCTCCGGACATGAAGGCCTCACAGGACGAACAAGTCCCAGTAGGTGGCTTAGAGATATGCACAGGGAAATGCCAGGACATTGATCCCTGTTCCCCTCCACTATGGACTTGATCCCATGCTCCACCTCTAAGTCTTTTAGGAAGGGGCTCCAGAAGTCAGCAGCTCAGAAGTTGGTTATTTCCCTTTGAGTTGAATGTGGATCAGTACCTGAGTTGTACCAACCCCGGAAGGGTATCAAGCAGCGTGGATATCCCTGGGGCTCAGGCCGACACACCATGGACCCCCAGAAGACCCCTTCCCGGGTTTTGTCATCCCATCGATGCTTTCTCTCTTGCTCCCTACAGCAAGCTCTGAATCTTACACACAAGGCCCCTCCGTGCCTTCACACTTTGATCCCTTCCCTGCGAGGCCACATCCCTAGTTCTGTGGCCCCGTGGCCACCTCCCTGATGGCCGGTGCTGTGCCACCCTGTGTAGGGACAGCAGACAGGAACTCCCACATGTTTGTCTCGGTTGTGGTGTTCTGTTTTGGGCTCTATTTTTGAACTGCTTTAACCAGATTAACATGAGATGGAACGTGTCAGTTGTGTTGGAGGGAAGGGAAGTCACCGGTAACAGAGTATCCAAATCCAAACAAAGAGCCAAATCCAAGTCTCCTTGCAAAGGACCTGTCTTACCGCCTCCAGACCGTTTTCGCCATCCAGTGTTTGAATGTCTGCTAATGTCTTCGTTGTGGTTTCTTTTAAACCTGCTTCCGTAAACGTTTCACCCACCATCGTTACTCCCCTGCCTCTTTCCCTTCCTTTTCCTCTTCTAGGAATCTGTACTGGACGGACTGGAACAGAGATAGCCCCAAAATTGAAACTTCATACATGGACGGCACGAACCGGAGGGTTCTTGTGCAGGAGGACCTGGGCTTGCCTAACGGGCTGGCGTTCGATGCCTACTCGTCTCAGCTCTGCTGGGTGGACGCAGGTGACCAAAAGCCCCAGGCCTGACTCCTGGGGTTGGAACAGTGCTTTATTTTTCTTTAAACATTTATTCTTACCCACTGTGGGCTGGTGTCTGTAACGGGGAAGATGGTGTGAGAGAGCTCTTTTACTCCCCGCCCCCCCCAAGAATTGCTTCCCATCTTTGCTCTGCAATGTATTGTTTCTCTAGGCTTGACGCTCACTGTCTAGGGCGAGTTCTCAGTCTTCTCCGTCAGGGGTTAGCACCTCTAGCTCGCAGGCCGGGTCCAGCCCGCCATCTGCTTTGGTACCACCCGGGTCTTATAAATGGTTTTTACATTTTTCAATGTTACATATTAAGAGGTTACATAAATGCCTCCACCGTCCTCAATTTTGCCTCTTGGCCCACAAAACCCAACTTAATTACCATCTGGCCCTTGGAGAAAAAGTGTGCTGACCCCTGGAGCCTGTCCTCATCCTAGTGTTATCTGTTACGCAATTCATGACTTACATTCCTCTCGCTCGCATCTGTCCCTTGGGGCTCAGGCAGGACTTGGAGCCAAGGAAGAGAAAAGCGTTTGGTCCTGCTTTCCGCCCTGGCCCTGGGGTGTCCCTCAGGCAAGGGATGTGGGCGGGTGCTCCATAGGGGAGCAAGGTCAGCCGTCCCCCACGTGTCTGTGGAGCTCCTGCGCTCTTCGCAGCACTGTCAGCTGCCATGGTGGGGGGTGCTGCGAGGAGGGCATCTTGTGTCCGGTGCAGGGGCTCTGAGGGCGAGGAGGGAGGGCCTGGGAGGCTTCAGGGGGCAGGGACTTGAGTGAGAGCTGGGGGGTGTCATCAGTCCTACTGTGTCCCCAGGCACTCCAGGAGTGGGCGGGAGCACGGAAAGCCCCCTCGGCTCCAGCCGACATCAGAACCAGATCTGGGTGCTCCCCCTGCAACCCCCCGTAGAGGTGGGGATTGACCAGAGCAGAGAGAAAGCTTTCCACTGTCAAGAAGAGCAGGTCACATGTGTTCTCCAGGATCTGTCATCATCGTGCTGACTCCTCTCACCCTTGCCCTCCTTACTCATCTTGACACAAAGGGGCCGTTTCTCGGGTACACAATGAATGCCTTGTTTTCGCTCCGCACAGGCACCAGTCGGATGGAGTGTCTGAAGCCCGGCCAGTCGGGACGACGCAAGGTTCTCGAAGGGCTCCAGTACCCTTTTGCGGTCACCAGCTATGGGAAGCATCTGTATTACACAGACTGGAAGACGTATGTCAGTGGGGGGTGGGGAGCCTCCCCTGCCACCCTGTCTCTGGGAGGCCAAGCCTTCCCTGGGGGAACTCTTAGCATGACCTTCCAGCGTCCAGAGATGCCCGCCCTCTGCCTTGCCCTTCCAGTTGTCAGGAGAGGACGGTGAAGGAGTTCGGGGGCTGAGGGCGCCTTGGGGGCAGGAGGTGCCGTTTATTCGTCTGTTTGCTCCTGGATGGGCACCTCTTCAGACTTCTGGAGCTTGTCTGTTCCGTCCTCACAAGCTGGCCCGGGGTCCCCCGGCGGGTGGGCCCCATGCCCCCGCCATGCCCCTACTTCCTTTCGCTTCTAAAACTGCAGTGTTCCCACAGCCCCTGCTCGCCCACCCCTTCCTGCACAAAGGAGGGGTCAGACCACGCCAGTGGGTGCATCCAGGGCCGTCTGGAGAGAAAGCCATTTCCCCAGCTTGGAGTTTAGAGCTGAGGGGAGAGCTTCGCTAACCTTTGTCCCTTTTTAAGCAGCCAGAGAGACGCAGGTTTGTCCCTCCGCAAGAGGAGGAAGGGGGATGGCTGGGAGGAGCTCAGGCCAGTGTGTCCCTGTCTGGCCTCTGGTGTGTCCCCCAAACCACAGAAGACAGAAGGTTCGAGCCAGCAGATGTGCCTTTACCTTCCGCCTTTTGGTGTTCTGCAGGAATTCCGTGGTCACCGTAGATCTTGCAATTTCCAAAGAGGCCGATACCTTCCAGCCCCTCAAGCAGACCCGGCTCTATGGAGTCACCATGGCCCTGTCTCAGTGTCCTCAAGGTAACCCACGCGGGTTCCTCCTATTCAGGGGCTGGGAGGGCCCTGGCCTGCAAGCCCACAGCCCCGGCCGCTTACCTGTCTGGCCCCTCGCAGCTCTGACCACGGGGCAGGGGAGACTCGGTCCCTTCCATCATGGGTCTTCATTATTTAGTGGCTGAGCCAAGTGGAAAACGCTAGGGGACGAGGCTGGGACGGTGGACCGGGGAAGGGAAAGCGTGCATCTCGGGCTGGTCTAGAAGTAAGTGGTCTTAGGGTTCCAAACAGGAACATTCGTGTTACCATCTCTCCTGCTTTAAAGTCCGTCCGTGTGGCCCCCCAGCCACCATACTCATCGCTGCTCCTAACAGTCCCGAACGCGCCCAGGGAGCTTCGTGCCAGAGCCAGGTGCCTCACACACGGCAGCCCTACATGCTCACGCCGGGTGCTCCTTCGTTCCCTCGTCCTCATAGCAGCCCCCCCGAGGCGGGCACCAGGCTTGTGCCCATTTCATGCATAGGAAAAGCCCAAGCCACGGGCTCACAGAGGCACGGCTGGGGCTGAGCTGGGCAGCCCGGCTCCAGAACCTGCTTTCCCCGAGCTCGTCCTCCCCGGCTTCCCACCACCGCCCCCCCTACCCGCCGGCCCGGTGCAAAGCCGAGGGTACAAGAGAGACACTGCACACTTTGTGCTTGGAAATCCCAGCTCCGTGTTATAATCTGACCTGGAGAAGCCTTCTCAGGTCCCATTCAGCGGCTTTGTTGCTAAATCTGCATGGTCCCCGGCTCAGGAACCGCGAAATGATAGTCTTGCCCACCTGGCAAATCCTAGTGAGGATTCCCTGTTCCTGCAGCAGCCACGTGCTTGGCCCCCTAGAAACCAAAAAGGGGGCTCATAGGGGGGCTGCTCTCTCAGGGGGCAGTTGAGCTGATTTCTGCCTTTTCCAGGTCACAACTACTGCTCAGTGAACAATGGTGGCTGCACCCACCTCTGCTTGGCCACCCCCGGAAGCAGGACCTGCCGTTGCCCCGACAACACGCTGGGGGTTGACTGTATTGAGCGGAAATGAAGACAAAAGTGTCTTATTCCCTCTGGACATATTCAACACCCTGCTTGAAAGGGTCCAGACTGAAAACTCTCTGACCCGGTGGCCACCACGCCCAGATCCTACCCAGCCTGAGCCCCAACAGTGTTCCCTTCACTGTCCCCCAAAACATATGCCCTGGGCTTCCGGAAAACCTCTTTCCCTGCACACAGAAAACCCTCCCGAGGGAGGACTATATGCCCATCCCAGTGATCTGGAACCTTTCCCCAACTTTGCACCCCAGTGGTGAGCAGAGCCTCCCCAGGCCTGAACTGCCGTCTCCGTGGCCTTATGAGCTCAGCCTCACTCTGACACACCTGCCATCCTGTTATCTCCCTGACACACCAGCCAGGGCCACCGAGGCGAGGCTGTGAATGAAGGAGGGCGTTAACCCTCCCCCTCTTTGCCCTTGGTGCTCTGATTTCCCTCCCCACACCCCTGGTTTTTCCCTGAGTTCTGTCCCACCTGCATCCTGCCCTAGGCCCCCATCACAGTGAGCAAACCTTGCCCCTCATTCAAAACCCACCTTGTCTTAGGGCTGTGTGGACACTTGTGGGCCATGAGGAGAAGCCCCTCCCGGATAAGTGACTGGCATTTCAGAAGTAGCCTCTGGTAAGCAAAGCCTTCAGTCAAAAGAGTATCTGTTGGTAGGAATTTCAAGGTGTGGAGTCAGGTGTTTGAGGGTAAGGATTGTTTGGAAGTGCTTACCTAAGTTACACCAATGGTAACCAACGTATTCCTCTTTGCACAAAGCACTTGGATCCCAGCATCCGGTCTCTTGAGTGGCCTAGCCCCGTGGCTGGCACCGATCCCCCCTCCCTCACTTTAGGCATAGCTGGGGGCTGGTATGCCTCCCCCAAGTTGATGACCTCCCCGCAGACCTTCCCCACTCTCCCGCCCTTGTGAGAGCTGACCACCAGTCACCATGAGCTCACTTCTCCTTTGTCTCTCCCTCTGCTCATGGTCTTGCTAGCAGTCTTCTCATCGAAGAGGACCAGATCGTGTATTTATACCCCTGACCCAGACCCTTGATTGCTCATTGGTGTCATTAAAGGGACCACGGCCATCTGTCATGTTGATGTGTTTAAAAACATCTCCAGGCCAGATGAGTAGCTAATGTTACCTTTTATCAGCTGTTTCCCAGAGTTGCAAAATAACAGGAATTTTTAATTGAAAGCTGGACTTCAGGTGTGAGAGTCAGGAAAGGTTAGGGTAAGGGAGTAGCGAAGGCACAGCGGAAAGGTCTCACAGAGATTGGTCAAGAGGAAAGAGTACAGAGGGCTATTTAACAACAGCAACGAGAAAAGCTCCTTAATAATCCCAAAGAGGAAATGGTACCTTTTGCCAAAGAACGCTTACACTTGAGGACATGGAAGAATTTGCTTGTTTTTCTCCCTGGGCCAGAGATCCTTGCCCTTATCTGCAAAGCTCAGCGAACTCATCCCTCCCCGCCCACCCCTCCTCCCCACACTGTCCTCATCTGCTTCAGCAACGCGGTGGTGCCTGGATGGGGAAAGAGCCTTTCCCTGGATAATTGGAGTTTGTTGTGAGAGCCAAATATATCCCCCCGAATCACATGATTTGGGGATACATGGGTCTTTTATCCAGCCCAGCTCCCTGAATTAGTTTTGCTTTTTTTTTAATGTATTTATCATTCCATATCAAGCCCTCTATATCAAATGTTTGTCATGATTTTGTATAGTTTTTATAACTTTTATTCATTTTACTAGATTCATTCTAAAAGTTTCAAATGGTCAATTCTTAAACTGTGGAACCCACTGAAGGTGCTTATTAACTGTTCCCCCAGATTTATACAAGTATTGGATGATTCCTTAAGTTTACAGTTGTACAAGTATCAGTATAGAAAATTAAACAATTTTTTTTTTGTTAAAAAAATCTTTATCTTGTTTGAATGAAAAGACTTACTGTTGGGTGATTTGTGATGAGATGATAGCCATTTAATAATCTGAATATAGAATTACCGTATCCAGCAATTCCACTTCTAAGTCTACAGCCGAGGGAATTGAAGTTGGGCTCAAACAGCTACTCGTCCATCAGTGTTCACAGCGGCATTTTCTCATAACCGAAGGTAGAAACAGCCCAGGTGCCACTGATAGACGAAAGGATAAGTAAGTGCCGTACTCCTGTGATGGGACATTCAGCCATGAAAAGGAAGGAAGTCCCAGCACGTTGCAGCATGGATGAAATCCAAAGTCGCTGTGCTGAGTGAGATACGCCAGACACCAGGAGCAACTATTAGCCGATTCCATGTATGTGAGGTCCCTCGATTAGGCAAGTTCACGGAAACCAAAGGTAGACTCGATGTCACAGGGGCTGAGGGCAGGAGAAAGGAGAGAAATCACTTAATGGTTTCAGAGGTTTTATTTAGGGTCATTGGAGAGTTTGGGATGTAAATGGTAGTGATGGTTGCACAGCATTGTGATACTCAATGCTATTGAAATGCACACTCAAAAATGGTTAAGATGGCAAATTTTATCACATGTCACATATAGATATTCTACCACAACTCAAAAAATTAAGAATATAATATATATTCTTAATATATATATATTAATTATATATACAAATAATATAATATATATTCTTAATATAATATACCAAGAACTATTAAATGTGCACTTTATTTTTTTTTAAAGATTCTATTTATTTATTTGACAGAGATCACAAGTAGGCAGAGAGGCAGGCAGAGAGAGAGGTGGAGGCAGGCTTCCTGCTGAGCAGAGAGCCTGATGAGGGGCTCGATCCCAGGACCCTGGGATCATGACCCGAGCTGAAGGCAGAGGCCTAACCCACTGAGCCACCCAGGCGCCCCTAAATGTGCACTTTAAATAACTCAATTGTATGGCATGTGAGGTATACCTCAGTATAGTTCTTTTTTTTTTAAATCACTATAATTAAAGAAAGAAAAAAAAGCTTGTGACCGAAATTGGCCAAGTGCTGATCACGTGGTAGTTGGCTACATTCAAAAGATTCCAAGATTCTGGTCTGGATACTTCTGTGAAAGGACTTTGCAGATAGAATTAGTTATAGTTATTAGTTACCTATAATTTTTAGCGACCTAAAAACAGAGATTTTTATCCTGCACAATGCAGGTGGGCCCTGACAGCCAGAAGAGGAAGGCAGAAGAATCAATTAAGGCAAAAACACAAAGCAGGCAAGATGAGGCTGAAAGGTAGGAAGGACGCCACCGGCCATCGGGTGTCTTCAGAGTGGAGCAAGGCAGTTACGAGCCAGGAGCAAGGTTACCTCTACTGGCTAGAACAAGTCCTGGCCAACAGTCAACAAACAGACCTCAGTCCTACAACCACAAGGAACCAGGTCCTGCTACCACCTGAATGGGCCTGGGAGCGGGTTCTTCCCCAGAGCCTCCAGGAAGGGGCGAGGCCCTGCAGACCTGGTGATCTCTACTTTTGAGTATGTTTGTCTGTAGTTTTGTTTCAAAAAATAAAAGGTAAAAAGCTACCTCATAATCATCTCACATATACTTGCATCCAGTTAGGATATGTGTTACAGCATAACTGGTAGGTTAGCCTTGTTTGTTCCACAGCTCATTTGGTTTGCAGACTCGGAGCCCTGCATTGGCAGAAAACTCACTCTAGGGGGATTCGAGTTCCATGCGGTCATTTCTTAGTCACTGTGGGCTCAAACTCAGTCATATCCAGGAGTCCTGTTGAACCCCCTCCTTCCTCAGTGTTCTCCCCAGACCCCTATCTAGACTGTCTACAGCTTGAGGACCTGCCGCTTAGGACGCCCCCAGGCCAACGCCCCCCACCCCTAGTCTCAGGCTGGACTTCAAGCCGCAGTGGCGGTGGCCGTGTTTGGCGGCTCATTTTACAGCGTCTCTCTCTGTGCGTCTTGGGGTGTTTGGTCCTGTGGTCCTCATGGGTCACTGCAGCCTCCTTACCCCCGCCCCTTGGCTGACAGGGGCTACGATGTTTCCCTCGCCACAAGTGCAGAGGGGTCAGGTGCCGCTGTCCCTCCATGCCCCAAGGGGGACATGGCAGTCAGTGGGCTGCCCCCTTCTTCTTTCCACCCCACCCTCTCCCTCGGCTCTGAGCCCCCCTGGGGGCTCCTCCGTGCATGGGTGTGGCCTTGCACTTCTCTTCCTGCTTATCCCTTGTTCACCAGCACCCCAAGGACATCCCTCCTGGGAACGTGTGGAGCCTCCATAGCCGGTCTCTCAGGGCGGGATAGAGAGAGAAAGGACATCCCAGAGGACGATGCCTCAGATGATCAGTTTACCTAACACGTACACGTACATAATTCAAGAATCCGAAAAAGAAAGAAAAGCATCACAGGGATGAAAAGTACTGTCAATAATGTGATAATCGCGTTGACACACGGTGACAGCTGGCAGCTACGTGTATCGTGGTGAGCATTTTGTGATGTATATGGTCGTCGAATCACTACGTTGTCCACCTGAAAATAAATAAATAATAAAGGCATAACTGATCTAAAAAGGCTTCTCAGAGGGAACAGATGCTGGGTCTTAAAAGGCAGGCCATGTAAATGCCATCGTTTCGGCCAGTTGTCCTAAAGCGAAGTGAATCTCACCTGCGACCTCGGCCATTTCACGTCAGTACTCCGACAACTGGGGTTTCTTAACTGAGGAATTGAAGTTTTGGGGGGTCTGCCTAGTAATCCCAGCACAGCTTCTCCTGTTTCGTTCATCCACTCATGGATTTAAAGAACCATCACCACAGGTACCTGACTCAGTGGGGTAAGTGTCTGACTTTTGGTTTCTGCTCAGGTCCTGATCTCAGGGTCGGGTGGGGGGATCGAGTTCCCCCAAAACCCCCACATTGGGGCTCCTTGCTTAGCATGGAGCCTGCATGAGATTCTCTCCCTCTCCCTCCGCCCCTCCCCGCTCCCTCACACTCTCTCTAAAATAAATAAATCTTAAAAAAAAAAAAAAAAAGCAAAGACCACCATGCATTGGTTCTCCTGACTCAAAAAACATAAACGGTAAATTTAGAATGTTTAACACTGAAAGAGGTACGAAGCAGAGTCTCTGTTCCCGCCCCCTAGGGATGAGAGGGTGTGTGCACCGTCTGGACACATCAGTGCTGCGGATCAATGAGTGACGGGCGGCAGGTGCTCCTGAAGGGCGGAAGAGCAGAAGGGCTGCTCCAGACTCTGCAGTCAGTGCTCCTTTCAGACCCGACAAGCAGGCAGGGTCCGCTCCCTCACGTTAGCTTGGCAGATGCAGGGAAGGGGCTGGAGCGAGCCCCTTGACCTTCCCTACCCTGGCGTTTCCCGCCTGGGGAAGGGATGGCATGAGACGCCGGTGCCCAGTTGTCCACCCGCCACTGATCACGGGGGTCTGTGCTCCCGGCGGCTACACGGGGGCCTCCATGTCCCCCATGCTGATGTCCACACGCGCCCTGCGGGCCCAGCTGCCATCCTCCTCCTCGAGGGCTTACACGGGGAGGGGTAGTGTGGGGCAGACTTTCTCCCCTGAGACCTCCACTTCCTGTCACATCAGAGCCTCCTGAAGCGGGCGGGGGAGACCAGAACAGTAAACGCACAGGCCACTTTCCACAGGGAAGGTGGCCCTGCACGTGCCCCCACCCAATCCAAACCGCCAGACGGGCTGCTCTGACCTTCCCCACCGTGTGCCTCCCTCCACAGTCCCTTCCTTGCCCTCCTGTCTGGGGGATGCTTCCAGGGTGGCTCCTGAAAGACTTCCAAGGACAGAAGCACATCACATCACAGTAACATTTGATGGGGAATGGGAATGACGACACACCGACTCACTAGGATTTCTCGGGAAGGGCTGAAATCACTCGCGTTCAGGTCCCGCCACACACACCTGCGCGGCGCCATAAGGGTTTGATTTCCTAAATGCCAACATGGACCACACGCTGGAGCTTCCGTCCCTGCGGAACTAAGCAAACCTGTGACAAAGATGTTGCAAAGATAATGGATATGTCGGGGGGAAACGTGGTCTTGAAAAATTCCTTCAGTGGGAGCCGGAGCGAGTGGCTCCGGGACGACCGGCCTGCAAGGAGGAGGCTCCGGGACCCCTGCAGCGCGGTCCCTGCCCCGCCGCGGCGACGCTGTCCGCACTGGCACTGGCCGCGGCTCCTCCGGGGTCAGGAGGTCCCGCCGCAGGCCAAGCACCTTATGGTGCGGAAGGACCGCAGGGGCCTTTGTGAAACAACAACAGCCAGAGTTAAGGGATGGAAGGGCCACAGGAGCTTCAAGAACAGGCTCTCCGGCTGGCTTCACGGTGGCTTGAAGCGAGCTGGGACTCCATGCGCCCCGGTGACAGCCTGAGAGACGTCCAAGGTTTCCCTCCGGGCCGGTCTTATCACAGGCGATACCACAGGAGACCACTAGAGGGCAGGGAAAGCCTCCCGATGCCTGTTTGCGGGGGGGGGGGGGGGGGGTGGCGATATGGGGGTGGGGTGGGGATATGGGGTGGGGTGTTGAGGCTCCCAGGCCTGAAGGCCCAGATAACTTCCCCAAAAGACTTTGCTTAGGCTTTCCCATCGTCCTGCTCTAGAACTTTCCTAATACTGGTTAGTTGCCTCACCTGCTACTGAAGGAAGTCGAAATGTCACAATTTCTCAGCGTCTTCAAGCCTCTCAATGGCAGATTTCCCCCACAGAGCCCAGCGCCCTTCCTCCCAGCGTCCTGTCTTCCTCAGTCAACGTTTGCAGAAGTCCGTGGCGCCCCTGCCACAGCAGCACGGTCCGCGTTGGGAGGACCACACGGAAGCCTTCCTAAGTGTGCTCATGTGTACACGGACGTGTATACTCACCCCTCCGGAGCCCAGGTTCCCAGTGCATCTAAGTGGAGGCTGCCATGGAATTCCAGAAAATGCGGGTGCTATGCCAGGGAGACCCAGCGAGTGTGTATCTAGTTGC